TCATAACCTCTTTACTTTTTAAGGTATCAGTACTTCAAACTTCAAGTATATATTTCTTATCATTACACACATGATATGTGACAAGGTTCATAACTCTAGCATGACTATTTCCAGAATTATTCTCCTTAAACTTGGAATTTATGTTACCAAATGTTATTTTTTTACTATAACTTAATACATAATTATACAATTCATATTTGATTTTTCTTTCATACATTTGTAGTTGTCTTCCTTACTGCGTCCATTATTATATTAGTCAAGCTTCACTGTCTCCTGTTACAGCTCTTGTTCATTTAAATTCTGAGTACAAGTAATATATCTTTATAATCTTTTGAATATTTCCCCATTTGAAGTGCCTCTGGAGTTTTCTATATAATTAAGTTTCAAATTTTTTTTTTTTAGGTCTTTGGACCTTGGTGGAGTCCCTTTAACACAATCATACTGGTACACCAACATATATCAGACATAAAACGATCCAAAACCCAACAGAAAACCCTATAATTTGTACTTACATTTGGTATTTATTTATATCAAAAGAGCCTGAACACCATGTTAACCATGTTTATTGTTAAAAGCCATGCTTTTTTGCACCATCTGTGTATTTCAATGTTATCTTGTTTCAATGTATTAATTTGTCTGATCATTTGACAGAAATTCTCTCCTGCAGTGAATTACAGACAGAAATTTCTTAACATGTTAATGATTTATTTCATTTAGTTTTTATTCAAATCTATTTAATAAGGGTGCATGTTTACATATTTACAAAACAAACACTTAAAATTTGATTGTTGGGTAATGCTAAAAAGCCAAATTTCCCTGTATAGACTGTATGGAAAAAGAAAACACCTCCAAAAGCAGGATCCTGTGAAAAGGATTTATTGAATGATAAGAATTTTTAGAAATCTACGATAAATGATTTCAGAATTAATTCAAATGTAAACATGATTTTTGTAAATATGGGCAAAAGAGGTACACTTCGGTCTGTTGTTATAAGTTGTAAGTGTAAAGGAGGGATTTTACTTGTCAAAGAATTTCATTAAGGTGTTATTTAGAATATTTTGGGCTTATTTAAGAATCATAAATATGTAAATTTTCTGAAAAATACAGTAACGCCTTACAGATAAATGTCTGCAAGAATATAAGTGCAATTATATATGACTTATTTTACTGGTCCTGGACCCAATAAAGCAATAAAAAATCCTTTATAAAATCATTTTGACTATGAAAGTGGTGGTTTTGGTAATTCAACCTCAGGATTACGGCAGTATTATAAGCCACATTGAATTTACCATAGCAAAGTCCAGCAACTGCATCATTCCGGGGCAGGCTGTCAAGCAGTTTACCAGTACTAGTTCCCTTCACTTTTGCAAATCTGGAACTGATAGCTTTTGTACATGCCACAGTAGAGGTGCAGTGTAAATGACTGCAGAAAGGAACTGAAAGTTACCTGCGCTGTTTGGGAATTGAACCTGGCGCCCCCATTTATAGTCGAACGCTCTACCTATAGAGCTTAAAGAATGGTTAAATGACTATGAAAGAGTAAAAGTTTAACTTAAATATATTTTTTTAATATTCTTTTGTAGAAACAAAAAAATCATTAATTTAGTAGATACTTGAACCCCTCATGATGTTTTAAAAAAAAACTACAAGATTATAAGATATCTAAGATTGGTTTTTTTTTATTGACTGTGTATGTTAGATAAAGACATGCTATCTATATATGTTCAAGGCCCTCAAAGGCTCTTATTTGTGTATCGTAAATTTATTAATTACCCCCCTTTATAAACTGAATATTATAAATTGTTGTATGAGTTTCCTCCCTTAATGCATTCTATACATCATAAATCTTTTTATGTGTTACTTGACCCTATATGCATATGAATGTCATAAATCTGTGTATATAAGTTACACACGTTTTTAGATGTATTTTATAAATCTTTCTATCAATTATCTCCCTTTATATATCTGTTTTTTGAGCATCAGTTTGACGTGACTGTCTTAAATATAAAAATGGCATGATGGGCCTTTAATATCTATGCAGAAACTGTGCAACAGCTGTTGATTATAAATGAACCGCGTCACGACAAAACCAACATAATGGGTTTGGGACCAGCATGGATCCAGACCAGCTTGCGCATCCGGGGAGTCTGATCAGGATCCATCCTGTTCGCTATCAGTTTCTCCACTTGTAATAGGGTTAGTTAGCAAACAGCATGGGTGCGCAGGCTGGTCTGGATCCATGCTGGTCGCAAACCCACTATGTTGGTTTTGTCATGACACGGCTCAAATGTTGAAAAGATGTACTGAATCATGGGTATTAAATAAGTATTAAAACCGTAAGGAATTTGAGGGTATTTTGTATTGATTAAATCACCGAGAAAATAAGCATTGATCATTGGAACACAATAAAAAGTATTTTTTTCTTTAATGAGAGAAAGCTTAAGAAATAAACGATGCCTGTCAGTTTTGTCTCTGATTTGTAAATGTTTGTAGCTTGATATATGACACTTTCGTTGTAAAGGAATTTTATGTTCGATTCTTTTTTTGTTTGTTTGAAAACAAAAGAAAGTGAAAAAAGTATTTTACTGTTAAAGAAAAGCAGACGTAGGATAAATTATATGAAGCTTTTCAGTGATTGAAATAAGTGGTGTAAGCTTTCAGTTTGAAAAAGAAAGACATGTACTTATTGTACTAATTATTATATCACTATTTGCAGTTGAAAATGTGGTTATTTAATTTAATAGATCGCAAAGAGTGGGACAACTAAATTAGGGCAGATTATAGTTTACCAAAATCTTTGTATTTTAATTAATTATAATCATTGCTACAAAAATTGGCATTTTTATCGACTTGAGGCATGCTGCTTAGAAGATTTATTGCTAAATCATTATCAAAGAAAATACAGAGATTTAAAGGTTGTAACATATTACTCAATGTTACGGCTATATGGGAGGTTTTATTTGGATTTATTTGTTAGAAGCACAGGACTGATAAGTGTGAAATATGAAGTGATATTGACGTGTGAAAAACATAATATCAAAAATATACTGGATCATGTTTTAAGAGTTTTATCTGTTTAATGAAAAAAAAATATTAAGGGCATGACTTTACATTTTAGTTTGGCTCTTTGAATTGACCCATTTTTTTCTTCACAACATAGATCTACCTTAGTAAATCAAATAAAAAAACTAATCCAAATTAAACTTTTCTGTAATATATTTGGATAATAAGAAAATTTAATATATTCAGAAGATTCTGTAATATGCAAACTTCTTTCTTGTTTATCTGTCTAATAATTGTATAAGAATGAAGTTACCTTAAAAATTTTAAAAAAATATATTTATATACTTATAATTATATAAAAAAAAAATTTTGTCATTGTAATATTTTATTTTTCATTTCATTAAATTAATTAAAATTTTGTAAATTAAATGAATTAAATGCAATTTATTTTTGCCAAGTTACCATGGTGAGGACCTATTTGTGTGTTTTTACGTCTGCTTCTGAAACCTTTCTTTTCGGACTACTTTTCTTATTTGCATGATCCAAGTCATTTACCTGTGAATTGTGAAAGAATTGAAATTAATTATTAACAGGGTCTCCATTGATTTAATCACAGTTTATTTGTTAAACAAATTCCCCGGACGAATGATATATTACTATCGACAGTATTGTTTTGTTTTTATTGCCACCATTCAGTGTATATAACAATATACTCTTGGTGTAGATATATGAATTATATACCCGAGGACGGTTCAAGTATTCAAAAGAAAAGTGCAGGCATTGTTTTTAAATGCCCTAATAATGTACTGAGTTTTACTGGTGAATATGTTGGAATATTAGAAAAAATACATTGAGATTCGTTATGGAAAATTAGGAAGCAAAATGAATCCTAACAAAAAACTGTTGAAGTTTGATCCAGGTACTAAGGAGGAAAATAAACCAACGTAAGTTTGATATAAATGAGAAATTCAACTTTAGTTCGATATAAATGAGAAATTCAACTTTAGTTTGATATAAATAAAAATTTCAAAGAAAGTTTGATATAAAAGAGAAATTCAACGTAAGTTTGATATAAATAAAAATTTCAAAGAAAGTTTGATAATTTATGAGAAATTCAATGTAAGTTTGACATAAATGAGAAATTCAACATAAGTTTGACATAAATGAGAAATTCAACGTAAGTTTGATAATTTATGAGAAATTCAACGTAAATTTGATATAAATGAGAAATTCAACATATGTTTGATATAAATGAATAATTAAATGTATTAGTTTGATACAAAAGAGGAATTCAACGTAAGTTTGATAATTTATGAGAAATTCAAAGTATGTTTGATATAAATGAGAAATTCAACATATGTTTGATATAAATGAGAAATTAACGGAAAAGTTGATATAAATGAAAAATTCAACATAAGTTTGATATAAAAGAGAAATTCAACGTAAGTTTGATAATTTATGAGAAATTCAACGAAAGTTTGATATAAATAAAAATTTCAAAGTAAGTTTGATATAAATGAGAAATTCAACGTAAGTTTGATAATTTATGAGAAATTCAACGTAAGTTTGATAATTTATGAGAAATTCAATGTAGTTTGATATAAATGAGAAATTCAACGTAAGTTTGATATAAATGAATAATTAAATGTAAGTTTGATATAAATGAGGAATTCAACGTAAGTTTGATATAAATGAGAAATTCAAAGTATGTTTGATATAAATGAGAAATTCAACATAAGTTTGATATAAATGAGAAATTCAAAGAAAGTTTGATATAAATGAGAAATTCAACAAAAGTTTGATATAAATGAGAAATTCAACGTATTTTAGTTGATACATGTATAATCATAAATGAGAAAATTTTATGAGAACCTTGGCCTTATATAATAGGAGTTATGTTTATATAGTTAAAACAGACAAATTCATAATTATTTGTGTCGGATAATGAAATGTGTCTAACATTCTGTTATCATTTAAAAACCTTTTTTTACTTTCAGTTTTGACAAAGATGAAAATGTCAGGTTGGAGGAGGAGATCAAATTACACCATCTCGAACAGTTAATGAACCGGTTCAGTAAACATAAACCGGATGACATTCTCATACAAGCTGGAACCGGATTCTTTCCCGCCAAAACTCAGGCCCGAATTCCGGGACGCATGAATCTCAAAGAATTTAAACAGACTGTGTCAGAGGTCCTAGCTACGGATGAGTACGATGATTATCTAGAGAAATTATTTATGAAGGTTGGTGAAATAATTAACTATTTCTGTTTCTTTGTCAGTATTAAATATTCCTTATAGAACACCATATGCTTTGTAAATTTTGAATAATGGTTCAGTGAAAAAATAACTAACAGTATTGTCTTAAATGAATTTGCTTAGAAATATTCACAATTTGGTTGTCTTTGATATAGCCAAATATTATCTTAACTTTTGTTGTTTTTGTGCCCCCATTTGATCTTGATATTGACAATGTATAATTATATGATATCTGGCAAATATCGTTTTCTGACCTGGTGAAAAACAACTAAATATCATGGCATCACTACAGGGAAAATGACAGTATAATGAATACAGGTCTAACTGTAGTTAGTAAACACTTTTATTTAGAGTAGAAATGGTAAAAAAACAACTATTTTTAGATAGAAAATATGACATTTCATTGACTATTCATTTTGTTTAAAATAGGTACTATTTAACTTTCAAATTGTATTACTTTAATGCCTTTGTTATAAAACAAATAGTAATTTGATAAAGTTTAGAAGTGTATTGAATGAATGACTGAAATTGGAGAGGGCTATTTTGTATGAAACAATGATTAATATGGTTTTGTCATAGATATATTTTATTACACTTAAAACATGTCAACCGTAGATGTCAGTTTGTCTTATAAACTAACAATGTTATTATTGTTAGAGTAAATTGTCTGTTTAATTGGCTAAATACAAATGTACAGTCTAAACAGGCATCCGCACAGTCTGATCAGGATCCATGCTGTTCGCTTACCAACCATATTTCAAGTAGAGAAACTGATAGTGAACAGCATAGATCCTGATCAGACTGCGCGGATGCGCAGACTGGTCTGGATCCATGCTGGTCACAAACCCATTATGTTGGTTTTGTCATGATGCGGCTCATATATTTTGTTTATGTTTCAGCTTGACTCTTCAGTAAGTGGTTATGTTGACTGGAATGAGTTTTGTACATATCTTCTGCTACTGTACAGAGAGAATGATTACATGCGAACAAAGCGGGAAATCCCCTTTCTTGTGGAACCGAAAATCAGACATATTGTTCAGAATAGGGTAAGATAACTTGATCAACCTTATATGACTAATGCTCATATCATAAAATGATTTTACATATTCAGTTTATAGGAATATTATTTAATTTGCATATTAGGACTTTTTCTTCCTTACATTTGAATTTCATTTTAATATAAAATCTCAGATATCACTTAAAGGATAAAAGTTTTTTTTGTTTAACCAAACTCCATTGCTCCCAGTTACAAAAGCACACATCTTAATGCAGTTCAAATCAAAGAAATGTCAGTTATTTTAGTAACAGACAGTTGTGAATTTCCTCAAAAATACTATATGGCTTTGTATACTGACCAAATATCCGTTCTAAATGGGCATAAAAAAACCTCTGACTATTTAATGTCATAATAGCAACTATAATAGTAAATAATACCATAAAGGCCAGCTCACATTATCAGAAGTTTAAAAATTGAAGCTTAACCTATCAACAAAAATCCCACTACCTGAACTTTATTTATTCAAACAAGTGCAAGATATTTACCATTGACTTAAAAAAAAATAGAATTGTATTATTACAAAAATTTGTTTTAAAAGATCAAAACTGTAAAAAGTACAGACTTGCTTTAAAAACAAAGGGATTAAAGGAATTGGTTTGTCGCATTTCAAACAGGTGTTTAAATGATCCAATTTAAATGAATTGGCCAACCTTTAATCTTTGCCAGTATGACTACAATAACATCAAAGCTTTTATCATATACAAACACAGTGCCTTTATGTATCTGATCTGCAAGAGACCGGCCCAGGTAGTATTTTCTTTTATCACTTTCTTAATTTTTTCATTATTTTTTATTTGATAAAGTGAAAAGCCCACTCATTCTAGTGAGAACCTTGTACATATAATGTTGTTGTTTTTTTGTTCATAATGTGAAACATTGGGAAATTCAAATGATCTGCTTAATGCATTTTTTTAAAAATCATTTTGACACTTAAACATCACTTCTGGTGTAGATATGAAAGAAATGCTACCATACATATACTGGTAACCATGTTAGTGATTTAGATATGTATGAGTTATACTCACTATAAAAAGAGGGCGTTAAACTTACAAAAGTTATGAAGAAAAATACCACCTGGACAGTCTGTTGTATGCAGATCAGAAAAAGTCAATTGCTGTAATGTTGCAGTACTACCTACTGGCAAATATGGTAAGAATGATTCCAAGCCACATACAAAGTTCTAAACTCACTTGTGCCATGTAGATGTACACAGTGCATGACAAATAAAATGAAAGTACAGTATCACATTCATTAACCCGTTGCAAGAATAGATAACAGCTGTGTGATTTTTTTGACAGAATTTTCATTTTGATAATTTTCTTTTTAAATTTTAGCAATAGTTTGCTGCAAGATATATTGTAGAAAACTTCTATTCCATGATATATTTTGAAGCATTCTGATTCAAAAATGAATGTCAAAAATACTTCACAACCAGCTGTTCTTCTTGCACAGTTTAACAGAATCTGATGTAATAAAAGAAATACGAACATTATGATATCATAATCATCCCTTGAATCTTTAAATTGAATTAGCCCTCACCACTCCAAATATCTGAAATATCATGGCAACTTTTCAATCTGGACTACAAAGTCATTCATCATTTTAGGAGAAAATTTCCAGATATGTATGTATTGTCTGAAAAGGGAACAGTACAGATCATGGTTATGCCGGTTTATCTTGCTATGCACCTTAATTTAGATGCTTCAAGCAGGCACAGAGTTAACCCTTAACATGCTGAATATTTTAAATGGACATGGCCGACTTCCATTTTGGAACTCTCCATTATCAATTTTAGGGATGTCAATTTGAATATTTAAAGTTTGTCAGCCAACAGTATAGAGCCTGGTCAGACTGCACGGAAGTGCAGGCTGGCCTGGCTCTATACTGGTGGCAAAGGCTTAACGCTTTCGGTTCAAGCACTTTAAGGGTTAAATTGGTTTGTTTATAAATCTTTAGAAGATTAATATTATGTTAGATTTTATTCCATCAACAAGTTATTTCATCAAGATTTTATTCCTTTGCTTTTGAATTTTTTATATATGCACAGGAAATAAGAAAACAGCACATAAATGTCTGTACAATTTAAATAGGCCTACTTATTAGTTCAAAGTGTGTGTCTAATTTCATTCACTTTAATCTACCATTGTTTATTTGACATGTTGATAAAAAAAACTATTTAAGTCTGTGAAAAAAAGGAAAAAAACATGTAATTTTACATCATTTCCATAATTTTTGCAGGTGTTGGTCACATCGTAGAATAAAAAAAAAACGTAAAAGGAAATGTGTTTTACGTCACTGGGTCAATTATCCAATTATCATAAATACTGATCTTTGTTTAAGATAGTAGGGTTTGAAATAACAATTTCTTGTGGCAATTTAACCGTGGCACAATTACCTTTCATACTTGAAAGCTTTGAGCGATTGATTTTTCTGTTAGAAATTTACACCTATATAAGATTTCTTTTGATATCATTGTTTAAGTGAAGTCTTCTATTTTAAATCTTGTGGTGTTTTTTTTTAAACAATAATTATAGCTAAATGAAACAATATTGTAAAACAGTATATTAAAAACTGGGGAAAAATAGTAATTATATGTACTATATGCACTGTTTTAGGATGATTAATTACTGGAAAAAAATACTTAGAAAATTCTGCTGCCAAGACTGTGGTTTATGTTGTCTCTAATATTGCAGGCTCTGTTTAAGCCTATTTCCTCATTATTAAAGCAGTACAGTAGTAACATCTTGAGCAAGACATGGTACATATTTAGTAAGACATGGTAGATATTAAGGAAGACAAAGTACATATTGATCAAAAGGTGGTACATATTGATCAAAACATGTTACTTATTGATCAAAACATGGTAGATATTGATCAAAACACGGTAGATATTGATCAAAACACAGTAGATATTGATCAAGACATGGAACATATTGATTAAGACAGGGTACATAATGAGCAAGACAGGGTACATATTGATCAAGACATGGTAGATATTAATCAAGACATGGTACATATTGATGAAGACATCAAGACATAGTACATATTGAGCAAAACATGATACAAATTGATCAAGACAGTACATATTGATCAAGACATGGAACATATTGATCAAAACATGGTACATATTGAGCAAGACTTGGTAGCTTTTGAGCAAGACTTGGTAGATTTTGAACAAGACATTGTACATATTGAGCGAGACATGGTATATATTGAGCAAAACATGGTAAATATTGAGCAAGACATGGAACATATTGAGCAAGACATGGTACTTATTGAGCAAAACATGGTAAATATTGAGCAAGACATGGAACATATTGAGAAAAACATGGAACATATTGATCAAGACATGGTACATATTGATCAAAACATGGAATATATTGAGCAAGACATAGAACATATTGAGCAAAACACGGAACATATTGATCAAGACATTGTACATATTGAGCAAGACATAGTACATATTGAGCAAAACATGAAACATATTGAGCAAGATATGGAACATTTTGATCAAAACATGGTACATATTAAGCAAGACTTGGTAGGTTTTGAGCAAGACTTGGTAGATTTTGAGCAAGACATGGAACAAATTGATCAAGACATGGTAAATATTGAGCAAGACATGGAACATATTGAGCAAGACATGGTACTTATTGAGCAAAACATGGTAAATATTGTGCAAGACATGGAACATATTGAGAAAAACATGGAACATATTGATCAAGACATGGTACATATTGATCAAAACATGGAATATATTGAGCAAGACATGGAACATATTGAGCAAAACATGGAACGTATTGATCAAGACATTGTACATATTGAGCAAGACATAGTACATATTGAGCAAAACATGAAACATATTGAGCAAGATATGGAACATTTTGATCAAAACATGGTACATATTAAGCAAGACTTGGTAGGTTTTGAGCAAGACTTGGTAGATTTTGAGCAAGACATGGAACAAATTGATCAAGACATGGTAGAATTTGAGCAAGACATGGTACATATTGAGCAAGACATGGTACATTTTGTGCAAAACATTGTCTATATTGAGCAAGACATGGTACATTCGAGCAAGACATGGTACATTTTGAGCAAGACATGGTACATTCAAACAAGACATGGTACATTTTGTGCAAGATATGGTACATAATGAGCAAGACATGGTAAAGTATGAGCAAGACATGGTACATATTGAACAAGGCAAAATAAATATGAGCCAGACATGATACTTATTAAGCAAGACATGGACATATTGGGCAAGACATGGTACAGTGACTTTATTTATCACCAGGCCAACAAGTGACCATTACTGTATATACATGTAATACTAGCTCAGTTTTAGCACATTGTCATACAACAAAGTCCATCACAGCAAATTCGGTTGGGTAATTTCTAGTATCAAGTTTGAGGATTTAGTCTATTGACAAAAATACTCTCAGATATTATGTCAAATTTAGATAACTTTAGATAACACTTAGATAATTTGACTTCCTTGCCCCAAATTTAAACTTTGTTTTCTTTTTACTTATGTAGTCTTAGACTAGAATCTATAACTGTGTCACTTTATAACATATTGATAATGTGGGAGGGCTATTTTATCTGTGAAATGATATAAAAAAAAGTGAATTTTCCATAAACGAAAATATTAGTTTGTATTATGATCGAAAATGTAAATAGTAAAGAGACCATGATTACTATCATCTTTGACAAGCCTTGGATAATCTTCTATCATAAGCTGAAGACTCAGTAAAAAACCCATAGAGCAACTTTATAATGATACATCAGTAGCATATCTAGCCATATACAAAGATTTCTATATATAACCAAGTCATACTAGGTTAGCATGGACTGACTATTTCTTAAAACATACTTATATAAATGATAATTGCTAACTTAAAGCAATATTTTGGACCATTCATGATTGGGATAAATGATCAAGAGGTATTAAATCTGTGTGTCCATGAATAAGCCATCATTCATTATACCAGTAATTTGTTTCAGGTGAATGGATGAATGAATGAATGAATGAAAGTGAATGATTGAATGAATGAATGAATAAATTGATTGATTAATTAATTTATTAATTAATTTTTAATTAATTAATTTATTAATTAATTAATTTATTGATTAATTAATTAATTTATTTATTTATTTATTTATTTATTTATTTATTTATTTATTTATTTATTTATTTATTTATTTATTAATGAAATGTGAATGAATTAATAAATGAAATGTGAATGAATTAATGAACGAACAAACAAACAAATGAATGAACAAATGATCAAACAAATAATAAAATTTATGATAAAGTTGATACCAGTTCAGCTGTAATGTTTAGTTTTCTTCTATTTTCAGCAAGAACAAACAACAAAAATAGTTGCAGTAGATGGCCCTACAAGATATGTAACAGTTAGCAGGGTAAAAAAAGAATTTCTCTTCTCCTAAATTTTGTATTATTTTTAAGATTTAAACATATTTATTTATGCTTTATTATGTTGTAAGTTCTTGCAACTTTTTCATGCCCCAGTAGACTTTCAGGAACAAGTCTGTACTAACCATTTAATGTCATATTTATAGAAAAATGGTTCAAACCCATAATCCCGCTGGGTTGAGAGGCAGACACCTAAACCATTAAACTGCTGCTACCTTTTGAATATTTTGAATATAACAGCCAAATTTCTGAGTGGATATTCATGAGAGATGTAGATTTCAAGAATGCTGATTTAGACTAAATTATGACAACAACATTAAAATTTGCTACTCTGACCTCTCAAAGACTGTTGCTTAGAATTAGATCTTTGGTAAGTTACATGATATTCTTCATGAATTATTTTTAGCTCGACTTTTCTATGAAAAGGGGAGCTATCCTACTCGCCCCGGCGTCGGCGTCGGCGTTGGCGTCACACCTTGGTTAAGTTTTTCGTACCACCCCACTTTATTTCAGAAGTATTACAAGTATGGCTTTGAAACTTACCATACTTGTTCACCATCATAACCTCCATCTACAGACAAGAGTACATAACTCTGTCAAGGTTTTTGACAGAATTATGGCCCTTTTTTGACTTAGAAAGTGTATTGAGCTTGGTTAAGTTTTTTGTACCACCTCACTTTATTTCAAAACCATTGGAGGTATTGCTTTGAAACTGTCCATACTTGTTTACCATCACGACCTTCATCAACAGACAAGAGGACATAACTCTGTCAAGGTTTTTGACAGAATTATGCCCTTTTTGACTTAGAAAATACATTGAATATGGGTAAAATCCACTTATTGCCTTAACCCTTTGAGATATTGCTTTGAAACTTTTTAATGCTATTTCACATCATTACCCCCATCTGTACGCAAGAGAAGGTAACTCTGTCAAGGATTTGTTTTAAAAATTAAGGCCTTTTATCGACTTAGAATCTTGGTTAAGTTTTTAGTACCAGTCCACTTTTTGACTGAACTGTTTGAGATATTAATTTGAAAGTTGGAATACTTGTTTACAATCATGATTCCCAAACATGTCCAGGAGAAGGTCATTCTGTCAAAGATTTTATTTGAATTATGGCCCTTAACTGTCAATGTTTTGTATTATAGGCAAGCACTAAAAAACTTAAAAAATCTAAAAAAATTCATTCCTATCCACTTGTTCACTTTACCATAAATTATGTCATATAAACATTGCTGTAATATTCAAGGGTATCAAACAACTAGTTCACTTTAAAAATACAGAGATTCTTGTATTGCCTTTTACTGCAAAAACTTTTTTTATTGGCAAGCAATAAAAAAGTCGAGCGCGCTGTCTTACGGACAGCTCTTGTTGATTTAAGGGATAATTATAGATATTTCCAGTAAATGGTTTAAGTACATTATATTTTAGTAAATCTCAAAGTTATGCTCTTCATTTCAGGAAGGTGCAATAAGTGTATGGTATCCCAGCATGCAGTATGACAAATATTACGTAATCAGTGACAACGAGGAGGACACCAGTCAGAAAAGAAGATTCAAAATGTGGGTCACAGATGCCATCTTTATGCCAAACTGCCATAAAATAGCCATAGCTTCCACTAGCAGGGATATAAGGTTCTTTGATACTTCAACAGCTCAATATTTTGAAGAATATCATTTATTTGGTAAGTTAATTATTTATTTGTATTCACAGAGTATTCAAATATTCTAAAATTCAATTGTACCAAAACACTGAAATCGTTCACCTGAAAGATAACAAACTCGCATCATTCACTTCTGATTACACTGTAAAACAAATTAGTTTTATTGAACTTTTTGCAAATGTTTTAACATTGAAATAGCATATGAAATAGCATTTGAAATCAATTGAATATTGTAATTGCAAACTTTTCTTTCACAGAATAATCATACACATACACATGTATAACATTGACTAACAAATACAGTTTACTGTGCATCATGGAATGTTGTGTATGGGCAAGCTGCAAAAATATCTCACAAGTGAATATTCCAGTGCATCAGCTCTTCAATTTATCCAGATTTCATTTGCCTTTCAGTAATTCAGAATAGAAATTTAGTCACATGCTGAATGATGTTTACTTACCTAGATTTCTTGATTCTTTTTTTTTTTTTCCCACAAATTATATTGTAAAATTATGTAAAGTTGTCAACTAATATTTTATCATAGAAACCTTTGCAGTGTCTGGGATTTAAACACAAATCTAAGGTCCTAATAGATCTTTCTGCTTAATGAAACACAGGGCACTTTAAGTTTTCAGAACTAACACAACAATGTGACATGTAATTTTGTAAATCTGCCGATTTTAACTTTTACATTGCTGAATTTATGTAATATACTCAACCTGCTGTGACCTTTGAACTGTCAATTGTCAGTGGAAAGGTATACTATAAATCAAAAATACTTAAATTGAAAAGCCAACGTTATAAAGTCTAACCAGTTTGTTTGGATTCTGGTTTGCTTGTCCTTATTCTTGCGGAAAAAACTTGTCATCCACTCCAACAGCAGTTTATTGCATCTTCTCTATATCTATGCTTGTGTCTCCATCTTGGATGACTTTAATTATGTAACATTTGAATTATTTTGTTTCCAGCATTACCAGATGTACCGTATTGTTTTGACTACTGGTATGACAAGAGGAATCCTAACTCGGAATCTCTGCTCATCTTTGGCAACGATACAGGGGCTATAAATCTTATGTACTTTAGTAAACCAGTCACACAACTCTTTGATATTCCATTCAAAAGTGATGGTGGTGCACATAAGATATTTATGCAGGTGATGATTTTATATTTTTGTTTGTTTTGTATTTTAGTTTTAATAATCATAGTATCAATTGCCAATAAAATGTATTCAAACCTCTTTTTTGTTTTGAAAATTAGCATATGATTATGCTAAGAGTTTGATGCATGAGTTAACAGTTTGTGTAGAAGCATTGGAAATTTATTTGATCTTAAGAAAAATAGTATAACTTAAAGTAGACATGTATAAGAGTGTAATAAAAATTGGTATAGCAGCAAAATTGCTAAGTCTGCAAGACTTAGTCTAATTTAGTCTTTGATCCATGGGTGGGTCACAAGTTTGTCTGTGTAGATATTTTGCAGACAATATTTATTTTGTCAAATGTAACTATGTGCAATCCACAGCTTTTAATTTCAAATCAATTGTTTGTAGGAATTTAGAATTGTTGGAAGAAAAAGTATTTATAAACTTGTTTAAAAGCTATGTTTGTTTTGCTCAAATTTCTTCTTCATGAATAAAAATGTTCAAATATTTGGACAGACTATCATTGACTATTTAGACTTATCAAAACTTTGAGGATGTCGTAAGGTCTTGTTTGTTTTACTCAAGATTTCATTTAGTGTTTCATGAATTATACTGTATATACATGTATATTCATAGTGTATTTTGACTTTGCAGAATTTAGATCAACATTCGAGGTATATACGCCATACAGTGATACCGGATGTTCATCCGGAACTTATACGTCAGGTGCAATATCTACCGGACAATAACATGATTATATCATCATGTGCCAACCCGAGTAAATCTATGATCATATCTGATATAAAGTGTCTTAAGAAAAGCTATGTGTTCAAAATTGATAAGGTAAACAATGCAATTTGCTTTTATACTTTGCAGTCGTAATATTGCTAGAATTTTTACCATAAATTTCTACATTTTAAGGTACAAAATTAATGTAGTTTTTTTAATGTAATGCTTTCCTGCCAAAAAATTTCTAACAACGGCCATTATCATAATAAATTGGTCATTTCTGGAATGTTATTTTTGACAATTTTCACGATCAGTATTTAATAATTTTTAACTGTTTATAGCCATAATACATAGCGATGAGTGATTGTAAATAATATAATGCCCAAGATTTTGAAAAAAATAATGTTCAGAAAATAACTGATTTGCTACGATATTAGCCGATGTTAGAATTTATACTATGACAATAGCTTGAAGATTATCTTGACCACTCTAATACCTGTCTTTATGCAGTACAGAGGCAGCTGGACCAGCCAAAACATTTTGTCCAATCTGGCCGGACTCTTACCTAAGATCCAGTTAATTTATAAAGTTTGTAATTCCTTGAACTAATGATGCACAGTTCTAAACTTAAAGCATTGAAGTTTGTAAAGAAATATTGAGTTTTGGTAATTATAGTTTGATTTTAAGTAAAACTGACACTGTTAAGTTTAAAGATGACAATTTTCCATTGGTTGAGGAAGGCCTCTCAGATGCCCCTCTATGCAATATCTTAGGCACAAGCGGGCACCTGAATAGAACTATCAACCTCCAATATGCTAGCTTGCACTCATGAAAGAAAACAGAGTCCCTTGCATTTTTCGAACCTACAGCAGTATAAGACAAGTGACTTGAAGTCAGCAACCTTTACTAGTCAGAGACCCATTTAGTTACTTTGAAATTACTCTTTTTTTTATTTGCTCCAATGTACAAAGCAGGATTATACAAATTATAACATTTAGATTTGTTATTTTCCAGGGTGTAGAATGTTTTGACTTTAGTAAGAAGTTAAATATTCTTGTCACTGGAAGTCTGGACCACTGTATACGGCTTTGGAACCCGTATGTTACATCTAAACCAATGGCTGTACTTGAAGGTCACGGCACAGGTGTAATTGGTGTCAAAATACATGAAGGGCTTTTACAAGTGTTTAGTTATTCAAAAGATGCTGTAAGTCTATTTTTAGAAGTAAATTTTAAAGGTCTGTCATATTGTTTTTTGTTAAGTGACCTTTTTTTTCTACATGTAATTTAAATGTATTATATTGTTGAGGTAGTTTATACCCAAGATAAATTAAAACTTACGTTAGTTATGTTTGAAACCTTGAAAAAAACAATTTCAGAAAATATCCTTTGAAATCCACAAAAAACTTAAACCTTTTGTATGGCACTATTTTTCTTAATAGATTTACTATGAATTGGTCATATTCGTATGGTGTCATTAGTTTGTGATATGCTTCTTGCTTTACCTACAGAAATATAAGAAAATCATTTTACTTTTGCATATGAATTAAACTAAATATGTAGGATTTATGTGTGATTGTGTTCAGTAACTTATAATGGTCTTATTGTTTACCATATATGTTGTATACACTGTACTTTTTATTGCATTATGATCATAGTCACCAGTTGATCACTGGATACAAGTTTTGATAAGATTGTTCATTTTATTTATTATCTTTCCTAAAAGTGTTAACATTATTACCTAAATAAAGTGAAACGATGTATTGAAGCAGGTTACATTTGAGAACCATTATGCTTTGAGAAAATAAATGTAGTGAAAAACACATTACCACCCATCTTTAATATTGATGTGATATGCTTAACTTATATATATGACAGGTTGTAAAAGTCTGGGATATAAAAGAACATGCCATATTACAAACAGTAGTGTTAAAGTTTCCAAGCAGTATACATGGACGTATGCCGGAACACGGACAGTTTCCCATCCATCTACAGCCCTCACCTCAGAGTTCTCTCCTTGTCACGTGCAATGATTATATAGGACTGTTGAAACTAGGTCGCACGAGTATACCAAGAAGTGAGACAGTGAATACTCATGATACACAGCTATGTTGTGCCATATATAACCCTGTGTTTAAACAAGTAAACATCTTTGTTTTGTTTTAATAGTTCTGGATTTATCAACATTAATAAGTTGACAAAATTTTTCTTTTGTAATAGTTAAGGATTTTTTTTGATATTCACATGAATTTAATAGCTACAAATTTTTTATCCAAAATGAGGGGCCTTACCTATCCGCTATATGAGTCAGGCAACAGCTCACTGCAAGGGTCCAAATCTATCCACCAGCTTTTCAGTTTTACAATTTTGATACTGAAATCATTTAAATTATTAATATAGAGATCTAAATTTACTTTTACAATCATTAGCATTAAGGTCATATATTTTCTTTCATATAATTTTTTTCAGCTTAGCAGTGAATAAAGTTTGAGATGCCACACTGGTCAATGTTAACTTTACCTCTATGTTTGTATTGTGTCAATAGAGTGATTCAATTATGATTTACGTATTTGTCTTTTATTACAGGTAGCAACAGGATGTGACTCTTCAGTAATTGCATTGTGGGATATTGAAACAGGAAATAAGTCTGTGGTATTCTCCAATGCTCATGGGGAGGAGGAAATCACATGTATGACCTTTGACACAACATATAGGAGGCTTTTCTCAGGGGCCAGAAATGGGACAATCAAGGTTACTATCCTCAGTTTAAATACTAGTTTATCTAAATTATAGAAATTTATATACTGTTTGTAAGAAATTTTGCCCTAAAGTTGTTGATATTATATATGGCATAGGAAAATGATGTTCTCACTGGCAATACAATACTTGTGGCATAGAATTAGGGAGAAAGAATTAGGAGAAGCTGCTTTGAAGAGTTTTGTAATCTTTTTTAACATACATGCAAGTTATTAAATAAAATTTCAGTTTTGGAATTAAATGGTAGCATCGAAAGAGAAAATATAACTTGGTGTTCATGAATTTATTTGTAAAGTAAATGAGGTCTATGACTGTACTAATGCATTCATGAATTGTCAGTTAAACTAGAAATTAAATACCTTGCCTATGATTGCTTGCTGGAATACTGACTTGCCTGTGTCACCTGAGTCTGCACTTCCAGATTCTCAAAGGATTGCTTCATTTTAGCATTTTAACATAAAAACACCTCTCATTCAAAATGGACTGTTTCAAATGAAAAGCAGGACTGTTAAATTGATTAAGAATAGTATAAGTTAGTTAGTAGCTTACATTTTTTTCATAGAACAGTGTAATATTCTATTTGTTCATATGTTCACAATTTTAGTAATAATTATAAAAATGATGTTGGTTTTTTTTCATATTTCAGGTTTGGAACTTCCAAAATGGTCACAATCTACATAAACTAGAGGCTGTAGCGGAGGCAGAGGTTACAGGAATTATGCCCCTTGTTGACAAGAAAGTCATACTGTCTGTTGGCTGGAGCCGGCAGATCACAATCTATGACGACTCCGATCCTGATGTAAGTTTCAATCCTTTAAAAGGGTTTCTGTTTTTTCCTGAATTTGAATGAACATTGACAGACATATCTAAAAGCAATAAGGGAATGTCACAAATATATGGCCTCTTAAATAAAATTCTGCTTTTTAGCTTCACTGATGGAAGGTTTAGAAAAACATGGAGCTATTTGGATGACCCTCTTATTGAAATTGACGTGTTTAGTTGGTTTACAGTTTTGTTAAGGTCAACTTTCTCAGAATCTATCAAAGCCATTCATTTCAAACTCAGTAAACAGTAATGCAATGTTCATTATCAAAATGTGACATCATTTCAAAAGGGGAGATAATCCTTAAATTATTATTTGCAAAGTTATGCCCCTTATTAAACTTATTTTCCTCACTTACAGAGTATGTATTTACAAGCTCAGAAGAACTGGAAAGGTGGTCAACTTCACAAAGATGATATCTTGACCATTGACTTTTGTCCACCTAACCTCCTATGTACAGCAAGTTTTGATGGTGAAATCATAGTGTGGGATGTAGAAACAGAGAAAATATTTGTCAGGCTACGTAAAGGCCAGGTCTCAAACCTGTAAGTTATGGCAACAACATAATATTATGACATAGATCTTAACATATGAAAATATCATTTTTAGGATACTTTTATTGAGTATTAAGGTAAACACATATTTCTTATTTACTAATATGCTCAAGTAGCATATTTTATAACCGTAGGAGAAATGCAATATGACTGTGCAAAGAATTATAAAAATACTTTTTGATAAAAATTCAAAAGTATTTAAAAGAAAAAGGTTAAAGCAAGCTTCAATAAAAGTAAAACCCACTTTTATAAAATCTTAATTAGATTTGTCCAAGTTGATAGTAAAAATCAATAAGTTATGTCCCAATTATACAAAGAATCAATCTAGAGATGCAATAGTTGTTAAATTATAAATTTGATAATATTAACAATTGACTATAAATTTTCATTAAAACTTCATACATAGAAATTGCGCAATACATTACATAGAAACCATGTATTAGTATGTTACCTTTGAACTTATGGTACTCAAAGTAAATAAAAATTAGATAAAACAGATTGATTTTTTTTTATTTCAAGTAAAATCACTGAGTTTAGTTATAAATCAGTTTAATTATATTACTTTCTTAATTTTGACATTATAAAGTTCTGATCAATCAATTTTGAAAACAAGAATTATTTGAAATATTTACAATGCATATAAGTTTTAAAAAGAAAACAATAAACTGTTTCCTCAGTGAAAGGTTGGAGTATGAACGGTAAGTTGATGATAATAATCAAGATATTGTCCTTAGTTATATCACTGGTAGTGCTATGACATAAATTGAGCCGCGTCACGACAAAACCAACATAGTGGGTTTGCGACCAGCATGGATCCAGACCAGCCTGCGCCTCCGCACAGTCTGGTCAGGATCCATGCTGTTCGCTATCAGTTTCTCTACTTGTAATAGGGTTTGTAAGCGAACAGCATGGATCCTGATCAGACTGGGCGGATGCGCAAGCTGGTCTGGATCCACGCTGGTCGCAAATGCATTACATTGGTTTTGTCATGACGCAGCTCAATAATATTTAAATAGAATATGTATTCATCAAACAACTTATCAAACAATCAAACTCCTCACAGTGATTACCTCCCTTGGCAGATTGTAATCACTGCCTCCACAGACGTCACATGATGATGAAAGTCACATGACGTAACGTCGAAATTCAAATGTAAATATCGACAGTTACATAATGTACATAGAAAAGCTAACATCATTTTTCTCCTACTGTTTTATTTTTAACTTTTCGTACCTACATTTGTTATAGTTTATCAAAAAAAATTCAAAAGTATACAAAATAATGAAAAATGAATTTAAAAAGGTAAAACATATTTTTAACAAAATATTACTAAAAAATTTGTGGTGGTAGTGATCTCTGCACTGATAAAGGGAGATCACTGCATAGGAGATTGTCAAACAATATTAGTTTGTGTAACTTTTCCCTATAAACAAAGCTGGAAAGAGTTTTTCCCCTTTATCCTTTGTAATATTTACCATAATAAGGTGTCTTGATATGAAAAAAATGATTACATTGTCAGTATAATAACTTCCACTTTTAACCTTTAACCTGCTGAATTTCTAAAAATGGACTTGCCCAGCTTCCATTTTTTTTGGAACTGTCCATTATCAATGTTAGGGATATGAAGATGAAAAGCCAGTAGTATAGAGCCTGGTTAGACTGTATGGAAGAGCAGGCTGGCCTGGCTCTATACTGTAGTGGAAAAGGTTAATTACATCTGGTTCCAGCAGGGCAATGATTAAGGTAGTCTTACTGTAATGCTTTCCCGCCAAAAAATTTAAAACATTGGGCAATATTGTAGCAAATTGGTTATGTCCGGAAGATTATTTTTTTCAAAATCTTTGGCATTAGATTATTTACAATCACTCTATGTAGTAAATTCTGGTTATAAACGATTAAAAATTATTGAGTACCAAAGATTGTGAAAAATAATATTCCTGAAATGACCAATTAATTAAAATATTGTCCAATGTTAGAAATTTTTTGGCGTGAAAGCATAAGAGTAAGACTCCCATAATAATTTTATGTTTAATTCTCTTATGCCATCAATATAGAGCCAGGCCAGCATGCATTTGTGTAGTGTAAATAAACTACCTTTTGTTTGTTTATCAATTTTAACAGTATTGCAAATGCTTTTCTTAAAATTGACAATAGATGCTCCAAATTTCAAATTGGCAAATTGGCAATAGATTGCTCCAAATTGACAATAGATTGCTCCAAATATCAAATTGGCAATAGATTGCTCCAAATTAGCAATAGATTGCTCCAAATATCAAATTTTCAATAGATTGCTCAAATTACAAATTGGCAATAGATTGCTCCAAATTTCAAATTGGCAATAGATTGCTCCAAATTGGCAATAGATTGCTCCAAATTGGCAATAGATTGCTCCAAATTTCAAATTGGCAATAGATTGCTCCAAATTTCAAATTGGCAATAGATTGCTCCAAATTGGCAATAGATTGCTCCAAATTTCAAATTGGCAAAAGATTGCTCCAAATTTCAAATTTGCAATAGATTGCTCCAATTTTCAAATTTGAAATAGATTGCTCCAAATATCAAATTGGCAATAGATTGCTCCAACTATCAAATTTGCAATAGATTGCTCCAAATTTGCAATAGATTGCTCAAATATCAAATTGGCAATAGATTGCTCCAAATATCAAATTTTCAATAGATTGCTCAAATTGGCAATAGATTGCTCCAAATTGGCAATAGATTGCTCCAAATTGGCAATAGATTGCTCCAAATTGGCAATAGATTGCTCCAAATTTCAAATTGGCAATAGATTGCTCCAAATTTCAAATTGGCAATAGATTGCTCCAAATTTGCAATAGATTGCTCCAAATTGGCTATAGATTGCTCCAAATTTCAAATTTGCAATAGATTGCTCCAAATTTCAAATTGGCAATAGATTGCTCCAAATTGGCAATAGATTGCTCCAAATTTCAAATTGGCAATAAATTGCTCCAAATTGGCAATAGATTGCTCCAAATTGGCAATAGATTGCTCCAAATTTCAAATTGGCAATAGATTGCTCCAAATTGGCAATAGATTGCTCCAAATTGGCAATAGATTGCTCCAAATTTCAAATTGGCAATAGATTGCTCCAAATTTGCAATAGATTGCTCCAAATTTGCAATAGATTGCTCCAAATTGGCAATAGATTCCTCAAATTACAAATTGGCAATAAATTGCTCCAAATTTCAAATTGGCAATAGATTGCTCCAAATATGCAATACATTGCTCCAAATTTGCAATATATTGCTCCAAATTGGCAATAGATTGCTCCAAATTTCAAATTGGCAATAGATTGCTCCAAATTGGCAATAGATTGCTCCAAATTTCAAATTGGCAAAAGATTGCTCCAAATTTCAAATTTGCAATAGATTGCTCCAAATTTCAAATTTGAAATAGATTGCTCCAAATTTGCAATAGATTGCTCCAAATTTGCAATAGATTGCTCCAAATATCAAATTTTCAATAGATTGCTCAAGTATCAAATTGGCAATAGATTGCTCAAAATTGGCAATAGATTGCTCCAAGTTTCAAATTGGCAATAGATTGCTCCAAATTTCAAATTTGCAATAGATTGCCCCGAATTTGCAATAGATTGCTCCAAATTTGCAATAGATTGCTCCAAATATCAAATTTTCAATAGAATGCTCAAATATCAAATTGGCAATAGATTGCTCCAAATTTCAAATTTGCAATAGATTGCTCCAAATTTGCAATAGATTGCTCCAAATTTGCAATAGATTGCTCCAAATATCAAATTTTCAATAGATTGCTCAAATATCAAATTGGCAATAGATTGCTCCAAATTTCAAATTTGCAATAGATTGCTCCAAATATCAAATTGGCAATAGATTGCTCCAACTATCAAATTTGCAATAGATTGCTCCAAATTTGCAATAGATTGCTCAAATATCAAATTGGCAATAGATTGCTCCAAATATCAAATTTTCAATAGATTGCTCAAATTGGCAATAGATTGCTCCAAATTGGCAATAGATTGCTCCAAATTGGCAATAGATTGCTCAAAATTGGCAATAGATTGCTCCAAGTTTCAAATTGGCAATAGATTGCTCCAAATTTCAAATTTGCAATAGATTGCTCCAAATTTGCAATAGATTGCTCCAAATTGGCAATAGATTGCTCCAAATTGGCAATAGATTGCTCAAATTACAAATTGGCAATAGATTGCTCCAAATTTCAAATTGGCAATAGATTGCTCCAAATTGGCAATAGATTGCTCCAAATATCAAATTGGCAATAAATTGCTCCAAATTGGCAATAGATTGCTCCAAATTGGCAATAGATTGCTCCAAATATCAAATTGGCAATAAATTGCTCCAAATTGGCAATAGATTGCTCCAAATTGGCAATAGAATGCTCCAAATTTCAAATTGGCAATAGATTGCTCCAAATTGGCAATAGATTGCTCCAAATTGGCAATAGATTCCTCAAATTACAAATTGGCAATAAATTGCTCCAAATTTCAAATTGGTAATAGATTGCTCCAAATATGCAATACATTGCTCCAAATTTGCAATATATTGCTCCAAATTATTACTCTAAATTCACAAGAAAACAAGATAATTTTTTGAAGTCAGTAGTGTTTAAATACTGTTGGAAATAGAGATATCTTAAATTTTGCTTATTATTTATATTCATGGTTATGGATATACATGTACTATTATGACAAACAGCATTTATGTTTATATGTAGTGCTATTTTAAACATACCTTTGCTTGAAGTCATTTGATTTGTATTAATTTCATCACACACAGAGATTGCTCAAATTACAAATTGGCAATAGATTGCTCCAAATTTCAAATTTGCAATAGATTGCTCCAAATTTGCAATAGATTGCTCCAAATATCAAATTTTCAATAGATTGCTCCAAATATCAAATTTGCAATAGATTGCTCCAAATTTGCAATAGATTGAGTATTAATTTCATTACACACAGAGCTTAAAAAAACCTATACAAATAGAATTTGAAACCATATTTAAATTCACTTTTTGAGAACATGTATGACAAATTCAGTAGAGTCTTAGATTTTATTACATGTATGCCAAAGTGACAAAATTATGTAAATTTTTTATTTATTTTATTTAAAAATTTAAATGTTTTTAAATTTAATTTATTTGTGTTTTAACAATTACAATTTAATACTAATCCAACCCTATGTTAAAGAAAAATATTTTTAATATTTTTAAAATTCCGATTAAAAATATTGTGTTATTCTATTAGTATTTATACTACATGTATTATGTAATTTTTTTCATCAAAAAGACCAAAAAATACCCCCCAAAAACAACAACAATGATAATTACTTAACAAATCACATAAAATTGTGTAGTACCTAAGTATGACTGTGTTGTACCACATATGATTGTTGTATCACCATGTTGTATATTTACTTGTGTAGGGCTAAAAAGATTGAGAACATGGCATCTCAGGCTGCTGATGGGAGTCGACCAAGATCTATGAACTCTCGTCCAAACTCCCGCCATCAGAAATCCCATCGGGTCGAGAGGGGGTACGTAAAATGTTATGTATAACAATTCCTTAACACTTATCAACTGTCAAGCGTCAGAATAAGTCAATGAAAAAATGTTTCTATTTACAAAACAGTCATAACCATTGAATCTGTGGTGAGTCAAAAACAAATTATCCAGTTTATATTCAAATCAAGACAGGAATGTTTTTAAGTCTGCATTGTGATTTTATGTGTGTTCATGTTTCAATGTGCTCTAAATGAGCCACGTCACGACAAAACCAACATAATGGGTTTGCGACCAGCATGGATCCAGACCAGCCTGCGCATCCGTGCAGTCTGATCAGGATCCATGCTGTTCGCTATAGGTTTCTCTACTTGTTATAGAGTTTGTAAGCGAACAGCATGGATCCTGATCAGACTGCGCGGATGCGCAGGCTGGTCTGGATCCATGCTGGTCGCAAACCCATTATGTTGGTTTTGTCGTGACGCGGCTCATTTGTGCAGCTGATCAGTAGTAGTTAACTCAGTAGGATGAATGATGTGGCAATGAACTTAAGATATTTTGAGTTTGAGTTCTGGTTTTGCCTTGTTCCATGTTTTATTCATTTTTGCTTAGAGACAAATTGCCCTATGCCTTATATTTGAGATGTTAGAAGAAGCATGCTCACTCGTATATGAAAATGAACTGTTAGAAATTGTCAGTTATCCAAATTTAATTTAATGGAAACATTTATTGTAAACTGTGATGCATTTAAAAATTTTATTTAAAGTTATAATTAAACCTATCTGGTATGAATAGAAATTCTTAGAAATAGAGGATATTGAATGAGTGTAGGTTTAATACTAAATTTATTGAACGAGTTGAATAAAATCATATTATGCGAGCCTCTGGCGAGCATAATATTGTTTTATTCAACGAGTTCAATAAATTTAGTATTGAATCTACACGAATATAATGTTCTATTTATCACATATATAAAATAAGAACGGTAAACTGTTAACAAAAGTCATTTTCTTTGACGCGCCGATAGTGTAACGCTAACATTAACGCGCTTTAACGCTATGTTTATAGCGCAAATTACGTGAAGTCAAAGTGTTATTACACTAGTGTAATATTGACTAGTGAAATATCGTTTTTATTAAATGGCTTTATTACACTCCTGCGCCGCGGTTTATGTGATAAATGTTGATATTTTTAAGCTTAAATTTATAATTTGTGTATTTGTAATCCAATTTTATTTCTGCATCTATTGCTTTTGTCATAGTTCTTTCCATATCTGTAAGTGATATGTTGGTAAAAATTTGAATATTATTTAAGACTGGCTCCATTTCTCTAAATAAACACTTTTAACAAAACTATTCTGATGTGATAAAACAAATGTATGTTGAAATAACAAACATCTATGACTGTCTGTTGCTTTAAATTTTATATGTTTTGCAAAAGAAGATTTTCTTTGAGAATATTAAGAGGTTAACCAGAAAGAGATAAATGAATTCTGGCATCAGAAGGCTTGACATTATTCATTAATGGCGGATTATAACTATCTGTCCAGTTTTTGACATATAGTATTAAAGTCTTTGATACACATGTTGACAGATGTAATAATATTAAAAATAACTTTGACATTTCTGTTGTTAAAAATCCTGTTTCTAGAGAGCCTCTCTGAATACATACAGTAATGCTGCTGTAATGTAATTGCTCTTCATTGTATAATTTGTACTCTTATGATTGAATTAGATTGAATTATTTTTATAGTAAATGACTGGAATAAAAAAAAGTAAGATAAAATGATAAAAGTATGATTTATTATAAATGTGTGTTAAACATACAGAGAGACATGGGAAGAACTCCTGTATAGGTGTAGGTAAGGGCATGTATTTGATAGTAGTTTTATAGAATGGTACCCTACACCAAGATTCTCGTGCAATGTTTGCACATTTTATAAAATACCCATTATTCATATTGGTCATCAGCTTTTCTTATAAAAAAAGCTATATTTTACAAGACCTACCCAATATGCTTAAAAGGTATAGTGTTAGATCTATGCTTCTTAGATTATCAAGTTTGAGTACTTGGTCTAGCACATGTTTTGAATGTGCTTTTATCTCCACCACTTTTATATAAAATCTTTGTGAAGAAGTTGTTAGTTACTTGTAGAGATGAAATAAGTACTGGTATATGTACTTCAGTAACACATTGTTTGGTTTTTGTCAATTAGAACAAAGTTAAACTTCTGTTGCAATCTGGTTATTAAAACAGCAGCACAAATTCTGGTCAAGATACATTAAAGAGTGGAAGATACAAAAGTATATGTTCTTTACATAATTATAAAGTTTTAAAGTTTGTGTAATTTTAATATAAAAACAAATTTGGAAAAGAAAGATAAGGTTAAATGAAAGTTCAAGATGACAGTTAGAACTGACCCAATATACAATGACTCAACTCTTTTTCTTTTCTTTTTTTTTCATATAAAGGAAATCAAATTAATTGCATATAAACTGGCTTTAATTATATTTTTTATTTCTTATTTTGTATTCCAAATGTTTTTTTTTTACTTTTTATGTATCATGAATGGTAGTGTCTTTTTTATGAGGGCATTTCACTATGAGCATGATATGAGAAATGGTCAGATTGCATGATAAATGCTTTGTTTCTGTAGCTATGCCATATTTTTTAAGCCCAAATTTATTTGTCAACAGCATGGTTTAAAATGCATGAACTAAATTTATCAGTTTTTTAAGCTACCTTTATATCACAATTTAAGCTTGTTTTTGCATGATATGCCATCAATATATTGCTTTTGCTGTATCTGTAAATGAAATCTTTGAAATTGTTAGATTTTTTCATCCCTCAGATATATTGCATGTATTTGTGTAACTTTTGAAAATATATTTTGTTTATTTGATTTTTTATTTGATATTATTGACAAAAAATATTGATGATTTCGATTATTATTTTTTTCTTATAGAAATTTTATCCATCAACTAATTGTCTTAAATGTTCATTTTAAAAGCATCTATATGGTCCGACCAGTGGAAGGTTGGTTGAAAATCAAAATTATGTTTATAAAATGATTAAGTGATTTGTATTTGGACGTTATGATGGATAAAATTTATCAATGTTTTCTGATATTAAAATGCTAGTACCCTAACAGCAATTTTCCTTAACATAATATTAAATGCTTTTCTGTAGCTTTTCTTGTCAATTTGTGAAAGCAAGAAATTTTGAAAGTTGTAAAATGTTAACACAATATTATGTTACTGTTTTATTTGTATAGAAATACACTGTACACTGTTGTTGTCAATGTGAATTTCAGTCTTGCATAAAATATCTTCCCATTGTAATGTTTCAGTCAAACAGCCCCTGTGGATAAAGTGTTGTTTCTGAAAGGTCGGGCAACAGGTCGAAATCTGGAGGTGTCTACATTGATCACCAGCGAAGGGGGTTATATCAGATTTTGGTGTCTGTATGGTGCCAGAAATGAAATGGGTAAATAATTATAAATGTATTTCATTAAATAATAGTTTTATTTACAAAGACATAGATATGTTTCTATGTTTTTGATTTTTGACTAATTATTCCCTTAAAACACATGTAATTTTATGTAATCTTTTACTTTTAAGATATGTCTGTTGGTACGGTACCTATTTATCTGTTAGTTATTTTCATGAATACCGTATCCATATTTATTATTGTTATTTATTATGTATTTTTCCATATCACACATAGGAGCATGTGAAACTGCATGTTTTGAAATAAGAAATGGGTAAATGATTATAAATACATTACAATAATTAAAGTTTTCTTGTCAAAGAGAAAGATATGTTTTTCTAAGTTTTTCATTTTTGACTAATTCTCCTAAAACAACACACACAAGTGTATGTTATCTTTGGCTTTTAAGATATGTCTCAGCTGGTACCAATTTCTCTGTTTATGAATATCAAGTTATTTTTATGAATATCAATATTATTACATTATTATTATATATCTATGCATGTAAAACTGCATGTAAGAAGCTTTACTCCATCTAACACTATAACATTTATACATGGTAATGATTTATTTTTCCAGGATTTTTCTATGCTCCTGATTTTCCAGACGAGTCAGTTCTTGCCATGTGTACCAACAACAACAACAGTTTGTTAGTTACAGGGGACACACAGGGGAATGTGAAAGTATGGGATATCATGACCCATTGTATCAAGTTTCAGGACAGAGGGGTATATTTAACTTTTATTCTGTCCGTCATTTTGTTTTTCGTTTTTATGTCCCTGATTCTTAGTCACATTGCCTTTCCGTAGCCTTACAAAAATAGTGGAATGTAGGGGCATCACTGTCCTTTGGACACACTTCTTATTGTTTTTTCATTTGTATATTTTTCTGTAAAAGATTGTGAGAAATGGGGCTTAAATAGTGATTAAGGACAATTTTATTTCTTTCATCATAATTTAAGGCAAATAATGAATACCATAAATACCATACATACCATACAGATAATTGCCTCATCTATTGCACTTTGGGGAATAGAAAATTAGAGCAATGGAAAGTCATTGAAGGAGATGCTTACATAAAGCCTATAGACAATATTTAATCAAGATGGCAGATAAACGTCATATTATTAAGTTAAAACTGAAATTGACTGCAAGACTGTGATCTTATCTTTTTTCTTGTGTTTTGAGATCCTTGTGTCCGAAAACAAGAAGATTGAAAAGTACTAAAAACAGTGCTAGAGGGATTGGTAGGGGTGTTTTAGATGCCCCTTTATCTCATTATCTCTCATGAACAGAGTCAGCCAAACAGAGTCTGAATTTTATTTTGCTTTTTTTTTCAAAAAGGGATCTCCCTATTTTCTAAATTCTTTATTAACAAAATAAATACCATTTTTCATTTTTAGAGAATCAAGGCTAAACCGCAGCTTGAGGCTGCGTGGCGTGCTCATGATGCTGCTATAGTTAGTGTAGAGTTTGCCAAGCATGACACCGGAGATTATGTTATAACAGCCTCCACCGATAAAACAGCCAGAATATGGACTCTTAGGGAAGGTCACTATATCGGAACACTCGGACAGGTGGGTTCAAATCCTCAATAATTATGTTTTTTTCAAAATAGTATTACTGAAAATCTTAAATCTTGCTCTCCATTTCAAATTGAATGGGAATATAATTTTGAGATATTTAGAGTCTGATAAAATCCCAAAATATTTTGCTAAACAAAAGTTTTGAAAATTTGCCATTAAGGTTTTAATTAAAGAGAAAAATATATTTTTTTTAGATTATAATGACAAAGTGTTTTTTCTACATGTTATTGAACAAAAGCAAAGTTTTGCACATCTGAAAATGTGTCTGTACAAAATTTTTTCAATGTACATAGTTCTATTGGGATACTACTTTCATCTAAATTTTTATTAAAACTTTTCTTAGAAATAGCTTTACAAGAATGTTTTATTTTTTATGAGGAAAAAAAGCAATGAGCTGTGACTGTCAAATTTTATGTCAGTAGCAATTTATTCTGACTATAAATGGTAATTTTTATAGATTAAATAGATGAATTGATACTAATGGGCAACCATTTTTGCATTTTTTCCAGAAAAAATCATGGAACCTCAAGGATCAGAGTACCTGGGCACACCCAAAGACACCCTGGACAATGAATGATGTCAGCTCCAAGAAGGATACAGGTATGAGTCCCAAACAGTAAAAGATAAAAATCAAGAATATTTGAAAAGAAATTAATTTTAAGTTATGAATCAATATTTTTTCTCTTGTATGAAAACAATTTCATAATAAATTGCAAAGAATGTTGAGATGTCAATGAGGCTTTTGTATTTCCAAGTGCAGCATTGGGTTAATTTCATGCTTTACTTTAGTCTTGCCTGTAGCACTTACTATCAAAGAAATAATTACAGAAATAACATTTTACATATCAAATATAATGTTGAAATTGCTCTTAAACCATTAGTAATGGGGTTGAATTTTGATGATAAAAACTAGAAAATTATATCATATGAACAAAACTTTAACACTTTCAGCTTGATTGTGTGTATTTTAAGATCTAGATGTATTTTTGAACATATGAATATATATATATGTATAATATTATTGTGAAATAAGTTTGCTTTTTTAATGCATCTTGAAGAGGCATGCCACTTTAGATAAAAGCAAAACAATTATTTTTTGTTTCTAATTTTGATTATTTTCCTTGTGTTCAAGTGTTTTTGTCATTATATGTCCTGCATAATTAATAAAAACTTAAAAAAATCTAATGAGGCTTTAGACAGAGGATAAGATATAATGTAGATTTAAGAAATATTAAAGTATATTTGATATAGGGCTGTTGAGTTTCCTTCAAACCCAAGATTTCAACCTGGAAGGTAAATTACAACCATTGTCCCACTTAATTGTAACTTAATCTTGTGTACTCACAAAAACTAACATTGAAAAATTCCTTTAAAAGTTTATAATTTTATTATGTTGTTGTAAATACTGTATTAACCTTTATAATCTCCCATGATCCCATATAAGAAAAAAAATTACTCATGAAATTCCCTTGGTTATTATGGTAACTACTATTTACCTTTATAAAGGACCACAATATGTAGTTGAAGAAAAAAATCCTCGTGATATTCATTTGGCATTGTAAATACCTTATTAATGTTTATAATCTCCCTACCTTAGCGAACCAAATAATATTTCCTGTAAAAATTCAAATGCATTGGTACCATATGTACCTTTATAATTCCACACTTTACCTAGATGAAGGAAATCTTCATAAAACTCAAAAATTGGATTTGTAAATACCATATATACCTTTGTAAATCCCCCACATTACCAAACTGAAGGAATATTTCTTATAAAATTGAGACAGTGTTGTTGTATCTGATTAATAACAAATAAAATTTCCCCACAATACCCTCATAAAATTCACATGGTGTTGTAAGTTTATAACTTTATTGTCCCTCCACAATGCCTAAAGGCACATTCCTCCCTAGGTTCACCTGATGTTGTTTATAACTTTTATCATTTTCCACATTGGAAAGATTCCTTTGTAAATTCATTAGATGAAATATTTTAATACTAAATAATTTTGTAAGATGTCAATACCTAACATTATCATCTGACAGAAGAACAATTTCTTAACACCATACTGTAACATTCTTTGTTATTATTATATAAATTTGTTGGATATTCATAACCCTTGACTTAACTCACAGTTCTCCATTTATAAATCGTTATCTCCCTAAATATAAATGGTATATGTACATAGTTTGAACATTTGAAAGTGGGAAAAGGGTTATATGGCTGATTGCTATAATGTTATCTTTATATTTAATTATATGTATGTGACTTTATTTAAATTTACTGTATAGCTAAATTGAGAATAGTTTATAATTCAATAAAAACGATTTTGATAACTGAAATGTAAAGCTAATGTGTAAACAGTTTACCTTATAATTCAAATATACCAATAAGTATCATTTCACTTAAAAATATTCTGTAATTTAAAAAAAGAATATCAGGCCCTGACTATCACAAAACTTAAGAACATCGTAAAAGTTGGCCAAAACCATGATTTTTATACTGATTATTTAGTAGAACTGTACAAAAGAAAGGAAATTTTGATACAATATGAAGTAATATTTTTCAGATTCAAGCACAGCATCAGATGCTAAAAGTCAAGTAACAGAAAATGACCTTGACCTTCCAGAAGAGGCAGTTGAAAGCAAGAAAGAGGCTTCTCCTGTTAAAAGTAGGTCACCTGAACAGGAATCAACCAATCAAAATGGAGAAAACACAGATGAGGTAGATAATTTTATATTTCATAGTTACTATCACTTTTATATTTTTGAATAAAGTCTATCATACCCATGTTTACTGATAGCATTATATAATACACTACTTGCATTTTCTTTTAAACATTTTACTGTTATAGTACAGTGGCATTTTTTGAGTTTATTAAATACCTGTGCTGCATTTGCGACACATTAAGAACGGTATTGCACAGCCGTGCAATAATTTTAGGTATGACGTCATTTGCGTTATACAAACATACTGTAGTGTTAAGAAGCGCTGACAGCGTTGTCAATGAATTAGCGATTCTTTTTACCAATAACAATTCTTGTTTTGGATATGTGATAAATAGAATATCATATTCATTTAGGTTCATTACTAAATTCATGGAACTCATAGAATAAAGTAATATTGTGCTTGCCAGAGGCTTGCATAATATTATTTTATTCAACTTGTTCAATAAATTCAATACTGTACCTACACTTATTCAAAACTTATTCAATACCCTCTATATGTAAAATCAGATTAATAGGTGTCAAACTTATTATGTAATATTTTGCATTGTCAACATTACAAGGAAAGCTATAGTGATCCCTCGGAAGCATTAGAATCAGCAACATTATAGACTGTTTTATCTCAGAATTTCTTGTAGAAATTTAATTTTTGATACTGGTCCAGAGTGTATGGTGAATCCAGTTATTTTTCTGCAATTTCACTTTGGACATGTTAATTAAAATGAACTGATGATTTAGGTGGAAACAAAAAATCATCATAAACAACCTCGAGAGTTACGACCTGTTGATAAGGTATTAAAGCACCCGCTTCATGGGCTTATAGTCGATTGTGTGTTTTTTTTGTAAAGCACAAAAAAATATCTGAAAGTGTCACAAGTCAACAATCATATTGCCTTGCTCTGTGGTTGAAACTCTCCATTGTTATTTAAAGTTGGCTTGACTAAAGGCAAGACATTTTGACTGCTAGTATTCATGGTTTAACTGCTACTATTCATGGTTAAATTGCTTCTATTTGTGGTTAAACTGCTGCTATTCTTGGTTAAATTGCTATTGTGCATGGTTAAACTGATACTAAACATGGTTAAACTCTTCAAATACTTGCAAGTACTGTTGTATCAATAAGTCTATGCAAAGAGTATAGATTAGTTGCTAAATGCTGCCCAACACTGCAAAATAGAAAATATTTCATGTTAGGTTTGATTGAACTTGTTCAAAATTGGGAGTGGTTAATGCAAGTTGTGGTCCATGCGCCTGAGCATAAGTAAAAGCAGAACATTACATTAAAACATGAAGGAGTTTTTGAGTTAGTACCATTGAGATGTGTTCATAACTCCATACAACACTGGTCATGAAAATTAATCTGAGTTATACATGCCATTTGATGAAAATTGATCATATAATTTATATTTTCATTATTTTGGTGATCTAGTTAAAGAATGTGATAGATTCTGATGAAGAGTGAGTACTTTAAGGTGTTTGTCATTTAACATTGGTATTTTGTAAATAAATATTTCAACTTCAAAGCAAGGCAAATTGTTTTAGTTAACAAAAAAGAAGAAGAAAATAAAACAAAACAAAAAACAACAATTATATGATGAGACATAAGATAAAACAAGTCTTGAGTTGAGCACTTTCAGTATTTTTAACAATCACTATACAATAGATTGCATAAATTCTTATTACATTTTGATATACTACAGCCACAAATACAAATTCCATTCCCATATATTGGACATACAAATGATTTTGGAAACAGTATATGCTTCAGATGAATGTGTACCTTGCATGTTTTGCATGATATTGTGTGTTCATTTATTTTACTTTTAAACTAAATACATTTCCTGCACCATCCAGTAACCTTAATTTGTAGAGCAGTGGAATGTGAATTGGCGATCCATTTCTGGACCATGCAGGCCTCTTTCGTTGTGACTGATAAGAAAATCTTTTCTAAGGTCATTTGGCATTTATCTCTGCTCTGGCATGTACAGAAGTATTGAAAGTGAAGGCACTAGTACTTGTATATTGTTTAATAGCATGCCTGGCTGGACTGAGCTGTAGTGGTGTTGGTACAGTTTACTGTCGTGATACAGAGGGTCAACTACAAACACCACCACCTAAATATATTTTTTGTTATGTTGTAAATTGTAATAAGAGAGCAATCAGTTAGGTCTATTTTCATTGTGAATATAGTTAATCATGAAAATGTTGTTACACATTTGTTTCAATCGTAAGTGTACTATATTTGTTATTGGCATGTTACGTTATAATAAAAACATCTTATGGTAAGGTCATATTTTTAGCTCACCTGTCACACAGTGACAGGGTGAGCTTTTGTGATCGCTTTTCGTCCAGCGTCCGTCCGTCGTCCGTCCGTAAACTTTTGCTTTAAAAGACATCTCCTTATAAACCACTGAGCCAATTTCATCCAAACTTGGAATGTTGGAACAGGAATGTTCCTTTGGTGGTCACCTTTAAAAATTGTTCAAAGAATTTAATTCCATGCAGAACTCTGGTTGCCATGGCAACCGAAAGAAAAATCTTTAAATATCTTCTTTTAAACAACCCTAAGAGCTAGAGCTTAGATATTTGGCATGAAACATCTTCTAATAAGTGTCTACCAAGTTTGTTCAAATAAAAGCCCTGGGGTCAAAATTGGCCCTGCCCCAGGGGGTCATTGGTTTTCCCTATATGCATATAGTAAAAACTTAAAAAATTCTTTTAAAGAACCCAAAGAGCAAGAGCTAAGATATTTGGCACGAAACATCTTCTAGTGAGTGTCTACCAAGTTTGTTGAAAAATAAAGCCCTGGGGTCAAAATTGGCCCTGCTCCAGGGGGTCATAGATTTTCCCTACATGCATATAGTAAAAACTTAAAAAATCTTCTTTTAAAGAACCCAAAGAGCTAGAGCTAAGATATTTGGCATGAAACATCTTCTAGTGAGTGTCTACCAAGTTTGTTCAAATAAAAGCCCTGGGGTCAAAATTGGCCCCACCCCGGGGGGTCATTGATTTTCCCTATATGCATATAGTAAAAACTTAAAAAATCTTCTTTGAAAGAACTGTAAGAGCTAGAGCTTAGATATTTGGCATGAAACATCTTCTAGTGAATGTCTACCAAGTTTGTTAAAAAAAAAGCCCTGGGGTCAAAATTGGCCCCGCCCCAGGGTGTCATTGATTTTCCCTATATGCACATAGTAAAAACTTAAAAAATCTTCTTTTAAAGAACTCAAAGAAATAGAGCTAAGATATCTAGCATGAAACATGTTCTAATGGGTGTCTACCAAGTATGTTCAAATAAAAGCCCTGGGGTCAAAACTGGCCCCGCCCCGGGGGTCATTGATTTTCCTTATATGTGTATAGCAAAAACTTAAAAATCTTCTTTGAAAAAACCCAAATAGCTAGAGTTTAGATATTAAGCATGAAACATCTTTAAGTAAATATCTACAAAGTTTGTTCAAATAAAAGCCCGGGGGTCAAAACTGGCCCTGCCCCAGGGGTGTCATTGTTTTTAACTATATGTGTATAGTAAAAACTTAAAATATCTTCTTTTAAAAAACCCAATGAGCTAGAACTTAGATGTTTAGCACGAAACATCTTCTTATGGGTGTCTACCAAGTCTGTTCAAATAAACAAATAAAAGCCCTTGGGTAAAAATTGGCCGGGGGGGGGCTATATACAGGTGAGCGACCTCAGGGCCATCATGGCCCTCTTGTTATACTGTTACATGATTGTTATTGGATAGTTTTGCCTGTGGGCAGTTGTGTTACTGTCCAGAAAGTTATTCTATATATACACAATTCTTATTAACTTACTCTGATTTCACCTGATTTGTCAGTCAAAGAAATACAAAGATGAGTTGGGTCCATTACGAGTAAAGTTTAGATCACAAACCTTTGCATATAATGCACTACGACCTGAGAGGTCAAAGGTAGAACATGTAGCACACTTTGCTGTGATGTTTGAAGTGTGTTCTTAGAACATTGAAGAGTAGAGACTGAACACAGAATAAATAATGTTCATAATGAATAGTATTATTATAATATTAAAAATTATAATGTAACATGGAATAAATTCACTTTGGCATATATCTTTCAGACAATCATTATTTTTACTGTTGCCAATCGTTGTTTTTTTTAATTTTAAGGTTTTATTTTATCACATCTTTTTGTGATGAAAGGAATAACCATACTCTGACAAAAATCGGTTTTAATCCACATTTTCGCATCTGTGAGTCATAATTTCATACATTACCAGGGCTTGTGGTACATGTATGAACAAAATGTTTGGTCAATATTTAAATGATTACAAAACTACATTTCTTTACTATAATGAATTTTCTAGGTACAGTAAGGTATAAAAAGAGTCATCTTGATTAATTTGCATATGAAACTGAAAAATTCTGTGTTCAGTCGTTTGATGAAGCATGGTATAAACAGAATTATTGCTAGACAGAACTTTATATTAACAAATTGTTTCATAATATCATGTAATAAATATTATTTCCTAATTATATTTATAAACCAAACTTAATCTACATCATGCTTTAACAGTCAAATGAAAACTTGTCTTAATATATAGCAAAAACTTTTTGTATCTCTCTCTAAACATTTCATACCAAGTAAATAAACAGTCTGCTGGTTTATTTAAATACAATTGCTTATAATATAGTGGCACATTTCTCTCATCTTCTAGCAATGCTCCTTTGTAGTTTAGATCACAAGAAATATGACAACTGTCCTCTAAGCTGTTTTATGTCCTTCTGTTTTGTGTATGCAACATACTGCATCTGTCTTTGCATTTTGTTTCTATCCTCCTGTTCTATCTATCTCTTTTTTGCTGTTGAAGTAAGAAAGTATTTTTTTAAATATATTTTTTGATGAAATTATTAAAATAAATATTGTGGTAAACCTCACCACTGTCATAAATATGGCATTCTTGCTGTTTGTATGGCGTTCTTACCGTTTAAATATGAAGAAAGGGTTTATGCTAGATAATTGAGCTTTCGTATTAAATAAAACATATTCTTACTGTTAGAAAAGTAAACTTGTGTTTTATGATGTGAGTAGATTTAAAGTATGCTAGAAGCTTTTCATGTGAAGATTGCACTAAATATTGCATATGAAATAATTATTAGCACGACGTATCTGTTCTTCCATACAAAAATAATGATAACTCTATTAAAGGTTGGTTTGACCATATTGCAAGTTAGTACCGTTTCGAAATTTGCATCGGCACACCAAAACAAAGAACTTTTGGGAAATGCAAAATTGCATTTTTGGGCTAGATGGGCATTTGTTTATAAGGAATTTTTCATCATACTAAGAGAATGTAGATGCTAGAAATTCCAGACACACCCATTTTTTTTACCTCTCTTTATTTCTTATTTGCAATATAATACACTCATATAATTCTTTAATTCTGTTCTACATTTTAAATTGTTCAGCACCTTTTGATTTTCATTGTGATATCTGATAATTGATTGTAAATGAATTCAATTTGTTGTTTCATTCCTCTTTTTATTAATGTACAGATACTTTATAAATAGGTTCATATATATTTTATTTTGATTATGTTATTTAATTAAAGTAACTAATTAACTTCAAACTAAAGTATTAATAATGTAACATTTTATAAATGACACTAATGTAACTAAAAAGTATGCATATTTTATGGCTTTCCATGCCCATTATTTAAATATTATTAAAAATTGTTTTAAAGACATTCCTTGGTATCCGAGTAGAAAAAGAGCTACAGAGAAAACAAGCAGATAGGAAAGGTAGACGTGACAACTTTGGTGGCATAAAAATGAAGAAAACACAACAATATGGAAAATTGTGTTCACCATTCCAGGCATTGTCTGTACCAGTAAGTTACAATAAAGTGGAAATAAATGTTCTTATTTTGGTTAGCAAAGATAAGTACTCGTATACTTCTTTTATAGTGTTTATAGTTGGAATATGCCTTAATTGTTTGATATACATGTAACTTAAGCACAATCTGACCGAAATTCAGACCTTATGTTTTACATGAGCCTGAAAGCCTTACATGAGCATGGCATTATTTAGGAGCTGATTTTCATAGATAATAAGAATGATTGACATGCACTTGTATAAAATGATAGTTAATGATATTTCCTTGGCATTGAAAAGTAACTTTTGTTTGATTATAAATTATTATATTTGATTAAACTGACTTCTTCATATAGATTTGTCAACTAGGAAAATGAATTTAAAATGTTGATAGGGCAGCTCAGGGTGTCGGGTTTTTATTGTCATTTTTATTATGTAAGAGAATTTGAAGACAAGTAATAAATTTCTTGATATTTTGGAAAAAAAACAACATAAATCAGGATATAAGATTATCTTTTATTGCATGAAAATGTCAACAATGCAATCTAGTTTGATTTCTTTCAGAGCGTCATGGATATAAAGATTCCAGAGAACATGCCTCTAAGTTCTAGAATGATCAACAAAGGTTATACATCACTAAATCTAACTGAAGACAAACTGATGAACATGGATTTTAGTTATGGTGGACGAGAAACACCACCTGGTGAGCAAGGGGAGGCAGTAACCAGAAAAAACGTTGGTGGTAGTAGAGTGAGCATGAGGGACGATAAATCACGGAACTCTGTGAGGAGCACACCCAAAATATATGCTCCTGTGTTTAAAAAACATCATACTGTTGCTTAAATATAGTTTTGTTTTGTTGTATGGATTGTTAAAGTTGATTTTTGAAATAACAAAACCAAATCTGCTTATATCACAAATAAATAGTGTATAGATAATTCATGAGCTCTATTAATTATATACTTATTCACTTTTTGATGTTATTTTCTATTATCATTTTAAATTGATAAAGCAATGTCATAACATTATTATTGTTATATAAATTGAAAATGCTTTAACAGATCAGTTATACCTTTTTAAGAATTAATTATTCTTTCTGATACAATGCAAATATAAATTCTTTGTGGCATTTTTTCGATATAATGTACTGTAAGTATTTATCTAGAAATGTGTTATTTACTTGAATTTCACAAGTGGAGGGTTGATTGCAAAACTGCTGTAAGTCCTTCTTTATTTCATATAAGTTACTGCAGTTTTGCAGTCAACCCTTACTGTAATCGTATACTGCTAGTTTTGACAACATCTTACTCATAATCATAGGTATTGGACAAAAGTTTATTTCTGTTTTAGACTTGTAAAATGCAGATTAGTGCAAATTGGTTTTTCAAAATGGCTAAGTTTCATGTATTAGAAAACTACAAATTTTATTAACAATCGTTTTGCAGTACTAATGAAAGAAGATCAGATCTCAATTTCAATAGATTAAATGTTTTGAAATGGTAGTGTATGTCTTGCTTTGTTCGTATTCCTAGAACAAATTAATTTTTGTGTCGCCTCTACGGAGTAGTGGCGACATATAGGGATCACTTCTCCGTCGTCTGTCTGTCCGTCTGTCCGTCCGTCACAAATCTTGTCCAGACTACTCCTCATAAACTACTGGTGCAATGTCATCCAAACTTTACAGGAATGATCAGTACCAAGTCTAGTTGTGCATATTGTCAGCATTTTCCAGTTCAATGATTTTTGTCAGAGTTATGGACCTTTAATAATTTTTAATTTTAAAGTTTGTCCGGACTACTTCTCTTATACCACTAATGCAATTTCAATGAAACTTTACAGGATTGATCTGTAGCTCAAGTCCTTGCGCATATTGCACGGGTTTTCCGGTTGAATGATTTTTGGCCGAGTTATGGCCCTTTGATAAAAAGGTTTCTTTTTCTGTGTGTTGCCAGATACACAAAAGCTTGTCCGGACTACTCCTCATAAACTACTGGTGCAATTTCATCCAAACTTTACAGGAATGATCAGTACCAAGTCTAGTTGTGCATATTGTCAGCATTTTCCGGTTCAATGATTTTTGTTTGAGTTATGGCCCTTTAATAATTTTTATTTTTAAAGTTTGTCCGGACTACTTCTCTTATACCACTAATGCAATTTCAATGAAACTTTTTAGAATTGATCTGTAGCTCAAGTCCTTGCGCATATTGCACGGGTTTTCCGGTTGAATGATTTTTGGCCAAGTTATGGCCCTTCGATAAAAAGGTGTTTTTTTCTGTGTGTTGCCAGATACGCAAAAGCTTGTCCGGACTACTCCTCATAAACTACTGGTGCAATTTTATCCAAACTTTACAGGAATGATCAGTACCAAGTCTAGTTGTGCACTGTCCGTCTGTCTGTCCGTCTGTAACAAAATTTGTCCCAACATGAAATTGGCCATCATGAGGCGACACATGTGATTACTGATCGCTCTTGTTAAAAATGCCATTGCAATTGACTGTTTTTGATTACTGATATATATAAAGATGGTTATACTATGATCAAATACCTTTAAATATCTGTGATTTCATTCATTAAATTGTAACATATACTCGTATACGAGGAATATATTTTACATAATGGTACATTTATGTTCATGCAAGTATTTCTAATGCGATGATGAATGAGGAACAGGCCAGGCCTCAAGAATATAAAACTTTGCCTTCAGTTCTGTCTCAAATCTCATAATTTTCATTGGTCAATGAACATTCTGTGGCAAATTCCGACCAAACAAATGCCTGAGATCTGTGTTTGAGCTATGAGATTTTTTTTATAACATCAAACCTGGAGGTTATAAATCTTTTCTCAAATCTCAGGATTTCCATTGATCAGTGAACATTCTATGGCAGTTTCTGACCAATCAAATACATTAAATCTGAGTTTGACCTCAGATTATTTCTTTATGACCTTGGACTCAGGATGTTTACATAAGGACTTATTGCTCGACTCTTAGTAAGACTTAGTAAGCTTATGTTTTTTTTTACACACTTATATTCATAATATAAATATGTATAAAGGTTTGTAAATTTGATTTGGGATAGTGAATATCGCTATCTCATCCTCAAATACTTTTCAAGGACAAACTGATTGCGGTGTAATAAGGGAAAACGTGCTTATAGTTACACTTGTTGTTCTTGAACCTAACCACTAAGGTTGTCATGATTGAATATTCGAGATATCTTACTTCTCATTGATATTTGCTCCATGTTTTCTGTGATTAAAGATAACAATGTTTGTGTATACATTATATTAAGATTTGAAACATTGAAATTAAAAATGTTGTTTAAATGTGTAACACCTTATTGTTTTGCAAATCAAACTGCTTCCTTTTGTCTTTCATCATTTATAAGTGTGATAAAGTCCTGTGATTGAATAACTGTTTAGAAATGTTTTCTATGTTAAATAAAGTGCTAAAACAAAAATGTTAACTGTTTTGTTGAAAAGTTCCATTTGACAGCAGAAGTTTTGAGAAAACATTAGCATTTGCTAACATTTGGGATTTCAACATTTATCATAAGATGTAATGTCAATTGACACTTCTAGAATGTTTTGTTTTAAATAAGGTCCAATCTTTAGCACTCAAGCTTTGACATCTACTTTTTGTGTCGCCTCTACGGAGTAGTGGCGACATATAGGGATCACTTCTCCGTCGTCTGTCTGTCCGTCTGTCCGTCCGTCCGTCACAAAACTTGTCCGGACTACTCCTCATAAACTACTGGTGCAATTTCATCCAAACTTTACAGGAATGATCAGTACCAAGTCTAGTTGTGCATATTGTCAGCATTTTCCGGTTCAATGATTTTTGTCAGAGTTATGGCCCTTTTATAATTTTTAATTTTAAAGTTTGTCCGGACTACTTCTCTTATACCACTAATGCAATTTCAATGAAACTTTACAGGATTGATCTGTAGCTCAAGTCCTTGTGCATATTGCACGGGTTTTCCGGTTGAATGATTTTTGGCCGAGTTATGGCCCTTTGATAAAAAGGTTTCTTTTTCTGTGTGTTGCCAGATACACAAAAGCTTGTCCGGACTACTCCTCATAAACTACTGGTGCAATTTCATCCAAACTTTACAGGAATGATCAGTACCAAGTCTAGTTGTGCATATTGTCAGCATTTTCCGGTTCAATGATTTTTTTTGAGTTATGGCCCTTTAATAATTTTTATTTTTAAAGTTTGTCCGGACTATTTCTCTTATACCACTAATGCAATTTCAATGAAACTTTACAGGATTGATCTGTAGCTCAAGTCCTTGCGCATATTGCACGGGTTTTCCGGATGAATGATTTTTTGCCGAGTTATGGCCCTTTGATAAAAAGGTGTTTTTTTCTGTGTGTTGCTAGATATGCAAAAGCTTGTCCGGACTACTCCTCATAAACTACTGGTGCAATTTTATCCAAACTTTACAGGAATGATCAGTACCAAGTCTAGTTGTGCACTGTCTGTCCTTCTGTCACAAAATTTGTCCCAACATGAAATTGGCCATCATGAGGTGACACATGTGATTACTGATCGCTCTTGTTAATTCTTTACAGATGCACGTTCGTTCTACTGAAGTTTTGCTTGAAGGACCGAACTTGTTTAGCTGACAAAGCTTCAAAGTTAACACCTGGCCTTATCAGTGCTACTATAATATAATAATTATATTAATAATGATGCTAATAATATCTTTATTTAAAGAAGGTTACCCATTAAGAACATACAATCACAATCATATATATCTTACTTCCAATGTGACTTTCTGAAAAAGAAAACATAACAGAACATGCATAGGTAGAAAAATGAATGTATCATATGTATTTTTTAGAATAAGACAACTCATATACATTTGTACTTTCATTTATGACATACAGTTGCAAATAAAATGTGCACTTAGTGTATAGTTTATGATAAAAATAATAGTTTTGGAATGGAAACAAAACATTTAGAGTTATTATGGACATTGATTTTAATTTCATTAAATTGGCCACACTATTTAAATTACGTGTACATTTAATCTCTGTTATGGCCGACACATGTATTCCTTGACAAAATACCTTATACTAGACCTAGTATGCTTAAATTCACTAATAAGCTGAAATCAAACAATAGAAATATTCTTTTAAATTTATCCTTGTATGTAAGAGATGCGATATCTCATAGAAATGCCTTAGATATACATGTAGTAGATACAACTTAATATATTAATAATTCATCCTCTATGTTGATTTGAAAGAGACATGTTTAGATCCGATCTTGTGATTTATGTTAGTATGTATTGTAAATTTGTTTATATATGTATGACGATGTATATTTGTACAAGTCAAAAATCTGTTCTGTTCTGTTCTGATAAAAAAAGATCGACTTGAAGTTAAACAAATGCTAAATATATCAAAACCTCACAATAATGTAAACCCACATAAAACATGCATACAATCATACAAGTACATACGTACTGTGTGAATAAACTCTGTATAATATAGGATTAACATAACATGGAATATAACCTATAAAATATACACAATGCCATCAAATAGCACACAGAAACTTCAAGTCTGCTACTGCTACTGCTACTACTACTACTACTACTACTACTACTACTTATTATTATTATTATTATAATTAGTAGTAGACTAGTAGTACTAGTAGTATTATAACATGTATGTCTAACATAATGACACTTTCTTTGATGATAGGAAAAGGCATATTATCTTTTAAATTTGAAATAAAATACAAGGAAATCAAAGAAAAATTTATGAAGGAATCTTTTCAACCTAAGAATTTGAAGTTCTTCTTTGTTGGAACGAGATAAGCGCAAATAGCATACACATTTAAAAAGCACATCTAGTCTCAGAAATTAACACTTCATGATGTTGCAATAATGCATTTGACAATGTAAGATAGTTATCACATGAAGCATATAGCTCTGAAATAATGTGTGACTAAGGTAGCGAAATGAAAACAATTTAGTGCTATTTTGACTTCCATACAAAACACTTAATCACTATACGTATTAATGAACCTACAGCTTAAATGCAAAACGAATCAAAAGATGGTGCAGATATATATCAAACGAGTAACTATCTGGAAATTATGACAGGACATACACATATAAAATCTTTTTATTAAAATAAAAATAGCATTTTAGGCTTAATGGGCCTTTTGTAAGTATTAGGGTTTGCATTTTTATATCTTTTTGTTATCAGTTTAAAGGACTCATGCTAAATCATATACCTCTATCTTATCACTGTTATAAATGGTAACCACCAGTCTATTATGTTTCGAATCAAAGCTACAAGACAAACCGCTACAAACTTTGCCAAGTACGCCCATTTTTTCAGCAGACTTTTCATTGATCTGGACAATTTTAGACTGCCCCATTCCACACACAAATATGTTGCCTCGTTTGTCCGTACAAACACCCTGTAAGGAAACTAAATCAGGATCAGTAATTGTTGTCTTGTAATTTCCCTCAAGGTCAAGGACAATCAGACCTTTTGTACAATCAGCCACATAAATCATCTTGCCATAACTGCTTAAACTGATATGTCTGTTGTTACTGAAAATTGCATCGCCTTGTTTATCAGATGTGATTTTACGTATCATGCTGCCATTCATATCATAAATGTAAACTGAGGTTCTTTGATCAGAGATAAACAATTTATCGTCTGTGCAGGCCAGTCCGTGGCAGTAATGATCTACCTTCAACTGTTTGGTGGCTGTCAATTTGTTTCCCATTGAAACATATTGAATGGTTTTATTGTTCAAACTTACTGCAATTTCGTTTTTGCCTATTTGACAAATACTTAATGGAGATGCATGAAGATCTAGCCGATCTGTCATGGATTCCGATGACAAATCAATAAGTTTTAATGCGTTTTTGTTATAGTCAGCTAGAAGTAGTTGTCCATCATCTGTGAAACATGAACCATAAACATCACATGATGTTCTATCATTAACATGTTTGATGTTGACTTGTTTCTTGATTTTCACAACATACTGTTTGTCTTTTATATTTTCATTATTACTCACTAAAATTGATCCACATGTCTTGACGTTTTTCAAATTGTTTAATCAGCAATGAATTCAACTTTCACATCTGATGAATTTTTCACAGACTCTGCTTCTGTTTCATTAGCTTCAATGATTTGTTTCCGAGAAGTTTTCACAGCGACAAACTCTTGTGCTTTATTCCCAACTGACTTAATTAGTTTTTGTGATGATAGTTTGAGTTCATCAATATGTCTATGTAGGTTTTTAATCTCATTCTCTAATTTCTCTTTGCAATTTTTGTACCTTTCCTCTAAAGTTTTTAATGTCGCCTTTTCAAGTGTGTCCAGTATTTCTTCCATTTCTTTTCTGAATTGTCTGATTGACTCTGCTGCCTTCTCCTTCTGGGCATTAAGCTCTTTGATAAGAAGTATTTTAGTTTTTTCTGTGTCTTCCATTTTAGTTTTAATACGAAGCAGCTCCTGTTTCATATCCTCAACCTCAGTCTTCTGATACAAAGTATCAATTTCATCTGGTACCGAGTGTATATTTTCACATGTTCTGAAAATTTTGATGTAAATTATTAAAACTCAAGGAAGAGTTGTGAAATATGATAAAATGAAATATACATGTATTTTGACCGTTCCCATCATTGAATAAGAGATTAGACACATCTTTCAAAGTTACATGCTTGCATGTTTTTTTTTAGTTTACAGTACATGGCTTTCGTTTTATATATTCTCATTTCTAGAATTCATCCGATAATTTATCATGTATACGTACACTGGGCGTAATTAACTTTTATCTCGTATGGATTGAAGCAAAATGAGTCTTAAATATGGAGCAAAATTATCAATAAAAATTTCAAAATTTGATATTGCTTTTTTAATGCTTGTATGATAATAAATAGAAGAAATATACATTTTCAAAAAATATTTGAAATATTGATAAAATGTAAAGTAATGTATCAGATGGATATTTTAATAAAATATTTTTTGAATGATAGAATTCTAAGTTATTTATTATAAAAGTTTTATAATGAAACATCATATTTTGTTTTAGAACAGTTTATTATCTGCTTTTCAAATATATGTTATGTCAGATCATGTATCCCACACTTGCCAACAGTATCCATGTTTCTTTCTTTCGTGGTTGTTATTTGTGATACAAAATACTTTCAACGTAATTATTGAATGCACGACCAATTCGTATTACAGACAAATTCACTTTAATTTAAATGTAAATGTACATCACAGACTCACAATACATTATTACTGCATTTATTTTTTATTTCATTGCAATTCAATACTTTATTTAAAGAATCCAAATAAATAAAGTTTACCTGTGTTTAATAGCTATGCAGGTCGCACAAGCGATATCATCGTGATCTGCACAATACATATCTAGCAACTTGGTTTTATGAGCTTCACATTTTTCAACTGGAAAACTTGGCAACGATTTTTGTAAGTTAGCTGTGTTGAAACTTGACTTGTCTATAAACTGATGTGTGCTCATTGCAGGAAACATTTTGTGCAAGTCTGTACATGGTGTACAATAATAATCCTGACATTCCACACAATAAGTATCCGCCTCTTTTGTTATATGTTTCTTTTCACATAAACAACATTTAAAGTTGACAAATTCATCTGATCCAGAACAACTAGTCGCCATTTTGAATTCACAAATATTTTAAAGTTAACTTCCTGGTTACGTTAGTACACTAGCTAAACTTAATAGCTTTAATCAATTTATTTAAATGTATAAAGCTGATTGGTGTGAAATTAGTCATAAACTTTTATCTTAGCTGTCTAATAAAAAGTTGAAGTATCAGACTTTGGAAGGTAAAATGTGATTAAACTTGATTTAGATATTGCATTTTAATCTTATATCAGTATAATGTTTAAAGCAAATAAACGACCTGACCTTGTTTTGTGCCTGACCTTGTTTTGTGTTTGTAAACAAGTATTATTTTTTTCCATTCAAATAACGCTATTTTTCTTTTTTGTAATTGTCCACTCATTCCACAGATCAGATTTTCTGAGATGTTGACTGTCATATATTTTATGTCAGATGTTGACATATGTTTCATGTCAGATGTTGTTATAAGTTGCAGGTCAGGTGTTTTAGGTCTAGGAATATGTTTGTGATGAAATCTTGTCATATGATCCCATATCTATCAATATGTTATATGATTAATGTCAAATACTGTCAAACAGCTGATGCTAAAACTTTGTGAATTAACGTTTTATTACTTGTAAGTTATTCAGGTCACAGGGACCCAGCACAGTGGTGGGATACAGTAGTGTAAAAAAGTAATTCTAGAAAAAAATATATATACTGTATATAACAGCACAGTGTTGGGATAGTGTAAAAAAGTAATTCTAGAAAAATATACTGTATCTATTATATTATATATACAGTATATTTTTTTCTAGAATTACTTTTTCACACTATCCCAACACTGTGCTGGGTCCCTGTGATTCAGGTCAGATATTGTCCAATGACTGGAATTACATTTGTCATGAGACCAGCAAATGTAATGTTCGAGGTCTCATGTAATCATCTGTATATGAGATTAGATATTGTCATATGTTTTAGGTAAAATTTTGTCATGAGGTCATAGGTTTAGAGTCAGATGTTGTCATATGTTTGAAGTTTTGGTTTTACGTCACACCGACACAGTATAGGAAGTCAGATATAAATATTTGTCAATGAGGTAGGATATTGTCATGCGTTCAGAATTCGTCATATGTTTTGAAGCTGGAGCTTGTCATAATGTCTGAGGTCAAATAGTGCCTTATGTTTTAGGTAAGACTTTGTCGTGTGTTTCAAGAGATATTTTGCCATATATTTCCGATAAAATGATATGATGTGCTACAGGCCTTATATTTTTATATGTTTAAGGTCAGATGTTCTCATGTGTTAAAGATCAGATGTAAATGTCATATGTTTAAGTCAGATATTTTTCATGCGTTTTTAAAGGTAAGATGAGGTAAGATGTTGTCATATGTTTGAGGTAAGATGTTGTCATATGTACTGTCATAATATATTGGAGGTCATAGGCATTCGGCTCAATTGTCATGTCTATAATCGTACAATTACTGCAAATTGTATCATAGTTTGGGGACCTTTCTGTTGAAAATGTGTCCGTGTTAAATCGTATAGATGTACATGCACAGTGCGTTAACTGGAGTGCAGGACTATTAGTTATCCGCACTCCAGAGCATGCGCATTGATTGGTTCATTTTTGCTGGGGTTTACTTATTGTTTCGGCAGAGAAAGGGAAATCGACAGAAATATCATATTCAGATGCTCGTTTATTGGTTACTTTTTTCCGGGGTTTCATATTGCGACAGCAGGGAACGTGTTTTTATGTTTGACTTTGAGAACATCAAAACACTCGGCAATCTGATTAATACTCGGGGGTAACGCCCCCTCGTACAAATCAGATAGCCTCGTGTTTCGATGCTCTTTCTATTACATAATCTCCCGTTGATCACCAAGAACAATGGTTCTATCTATAGTTCCCTGTATTGTAAAATTATCGTAAAATAATCTCCAACAAAATCAAAATCCAGCACCAGTTTCGTTGATGATTTTTTGGATTGAGTTGAACAACACTTATAAAAGATATGATTACAGTTTTCAAAGCAATACAAAACTTGCAATCAGATCGTAGTTATTTTTCATTATATAAAACAACAGGTTTCTCTTCAAAACGTTTCCTTTTAAATTGATCCGTTGCAAAATTATGACAATATTATTATTTTATAAGTGTTGGTATTGACCAATTTAGGAGATTATTAAAGAAGTAACAAAGACACGGGATATAGATAGCCAGGAGAAAGCATCAAGTATGTACTTGTGGAATAAATGGAAAAACGAGACCCCTTTGTCGTGTCTTTTCTGTATACTGTCTTATGGTGAAGAAATTTTTTTGTCATGAGAAATAATCACAGCATGGAAATTTCTCCATTTAAACAAAACTTTGTCTATATAGCCCTGTTTAGAATAAATTGGTATTGGAACATACCACAAATATGGCTCCAAGAGATTTTCAAATTTTACTCCATCTTACTACTATGGTTACATTGTTCTGGAATAGCATTCCAATGTTTATGCTTATTATCATATCGTAATTTAGAAGTTTGTAACTTGTCATCGTGGACGGGAGGTCTTTACAACAAAAATTACAAAATAGAACATGTCTTATCCTGTAAATCTAGTATTAAGGTAAACGAATTCGAGAAATAGTAGCCTTCATACATTACAATTTGCTTACACATCCAAGTTTACATTGTACTTCTAAATTCTATCGTCTGTTGAGGCCATTACCTTTACTAAAAAGACAAATGAGCCGAATGTCTCATGGGCGGGTCCTCTAGAAGAGTATTAGTCATTTTATACGATTGTGCAAGATACAGATAAGAAAGATACCCAGGTTCCAGAAGTTTACCCAGATTCCAGAAGTTTCTCCTGATTCTTTAACGTGCCAAGTGTTTAAACACTCATACATGGGACCTCGAAAAAGTAATTTTAGTTGGCCAGCCCAGGAATCAGCTCTAACCAATTGAGCTATGCGGGCTGTCGCGTGTTTAAGGTAAGATATTTTATGGTATCACATGTAAATGATTTAGGACACAATGTGTCATGTTGTTGTATGCTTTAAGGCGAATGTTGCCAGATATAATGTTAATGGCAAAATATAGACAATTACAATCAGCTTTAGGTTTAATATTTTTGCAGGTGAAATGAAAGCATAAAACAAGAACTTATCTATAAGTTTTATTATACAAAACAGAGGGTGTACATAGGTGACAGTTGGACGGAAACTATGACATGCATATTGTAAAATTGTGTTCAATCTAAAATCTAACGTAAACCTTAAATATTGACATATTTTCATATAATGAATATATGATTAAAAAATAACTTATGCATTCCATCACCTGACAGCCATTAAAATTATCACAGGATGATACACATTCAAATGTTATTAAATGTTAAATATAATCAATACAATTAATGTTGTATATGTAAAAATGAATTATTTTCTTATACAAAAGCCAGGGCTTGAAAAGATTGATTAAATTTTAAATGTGGCCATGTTTCATCAGAGCAAATATAACTTTTGCTTATTGCATTAAAAGTGTTATTTAAGGCAATGACATTTTTTATGATAATATTTTTGTTTGCAAACATTTTTTACTTGAGCCAAAAAGTTTTGTTTTTGAATCAATTCAATGCAACATTAAATTAACATTCATGAATAAAACAATTTTATATTTGAGACAAAAGGCGTTTTTGAAATAGCATTAGATGACACTCAATGTGTCATTAAATTAACATTCACGAATTTTAAAAGGACATTAAGACTCAGAAATAATTTCTTTTTTCATCACAAAATTGAAGAAAAAATATACAATATCTGACAAAATCAAACATTGCTTGAAAATTACACATGCTATTTCAACAATGCATACAATTTCTAGCTTTACCCTTTAAATTACTTTACTGACCACCTTTGAGCTTTTCCTCAGTGGTTATTTTGTAGACATTTGGTAAAAAATGTTGAAAATTGTTTTGGCCCTCTCACTGATCTTAACTTAAAAGAGATAATATGTAATAAACAAGCACACTTGTGTAATATTTTCACTTAACAAATGAGAAACTTAACTTATAAAAAGCATTTTTTTTAATATCGCAGATATTTTAATGTAACATTTATATACATATTATAATATTTGTTTCGTTAAAATGGAATAAAAAGACTACCATACAAATTTAAGATATATAACAATTAAGCCAAATGTTTTAATCTAAATGAAGCAAGTACACACAAAAATAGGTTTTATATAAGAGAGTTGTAATAAGAAGTTGTATCGTAGCAAGTTACAAGCCTACAATGCTAAATATTGTGTTGCAGAAAGCAAGGCATTGTTCATTTGTTCTAGCATTTTAATTAACTACCAAAAGAAATTGTTAATCATATTATGTCAAACTAGCTTAGAGCAGAGTTTATAATCCATAATGAAATATACAACTCTTAAAAAGGTGCAATTATAAAACAATAATATTGTATACAGATAACAAGGGACGGAAGCACGCTGTAAGGCAAATACTAAACATGGCAGAAAACAAACATTTTAACAAGTAACATAACGGAATAAAAAAGAAAGTTTCATTAGAAGTACTAAAATATTAACAAGTCCTGGGATGATCAAGTTGTTGCTTTAGAGGAATAAGGTCACAAAGTCATAAATACTAGATATAATTAAGTTTTAGTGATAACTTTATGAATCTTAAGCATCGACTTAAAAGGTTTTTTATGTCCAGGTCTATAAAACAACAGCTATTACTTAAACATTCATTGCAAAGTTATTCGCAAAACAATATGTACACCGAAAATTGAATACCAAAACATATTGAAAGTGGATAGGTCTACGTGTCATGCTAAATATTAAAAAAAAACACATAGACCTAGCTATTTTAACAAGTAATACAAGTCTTTTCTGTAATGAAAACATATGCACACAGACACATTTTTAAAGTGCATTGTTCTACAGTGAGCACATTTTCCGTAAGTATTTCAAATATTGACAAAAACTATAGAGATGTATAATTTGGACATTCTTATAAAATAAGATACTATGCAATTAAGGTAATACTGCCTGAAAACCCATTTCTGTAACACGCGCCTGAAATGTAAAGGCCACAATATTTAAATTACATGTATATTTAATCCCTTTTATGACCGACATATCGTATTCCTTATTGAAAAAAGTGGTTTTAAGTTAAACAAATTCTAAGCATATCAAAGCCTTGTTGTTTAATTGTATACAAATAAATATGTATAATATGTATTTTTAATCGGCCTCTTTTGAATCACATTAATGTAATTCTGACACAGCAAATATATGTTATCCTACCCAATCATCTAAACTTGATTTAGAATTAATTCAAACAAAACTGTTTACTAGACTGAATAGCTGATTGCTTAAAAAAGTATCAATCACACGTTTCTGACAATTTATTAACGTTAATTTCATTTAAATAAAATCTGAAATAATTTGTGACTAAGGTAGCGAAATAAAAACAATTAGTGATATTTTGACTTCCATATAAAACATTTAATCGCTATAATTTTATATGTATAAACGAACTTACAGCTTAAATGCAAAATACATCAAAAGATGGTTCAGCTATATGGCAAAAATATAAAATAATATTTTTTAAAAATATGCGTAATGGACCTTTAATAAGTAATAGGGTTTACGTTTGACATCATTTTGATTTAAGTTTATTTGACTCATGCTAAGTAATACACCTCTATTTTATCACTGTTATCAATGGTTACAACCAGTCTGTTCTGTTGTGAATTAAAGCTAACAGACCTGCTTTTACAAACATCACCTATAACTCCCATTTTTGTACCAGAATTTTCATTGATCTGAACAATTTTTGACTTCCCCCATCCACACACAAATATATTTCCTCGTTTATCCGTACAAACTCCCTGTAAGTAAACAAAATCAGGATCAGTAATTGTTGTCTTGTAGTTTCCCTCAAGGTCAAGGACAATCAGACCTTTCCAATGATCAGCCACATAAATCATCCTGCCAACACTGCTAACACTGATTTCGCTGTTGCTACTGAAGATTGCATCGCCTTGTTTATCAGTTGAAATTTTACGTATCATGCTGCCGTTAATATCATAAATGTAAACTGTGGTACTTTGATCTGAGATAAACAATTTATCGTCTCTGCAGGCCAGTCCGTGGCAAAAATGATCTACCTTCTGTTGTTTGATGGCGTTCAGTTTGTTTCCCTTTGAAACAAATTGAATAGTTTGATTTATCAAACTTACTGCAATTTCGTTTTTGCCTATTTGACAAATATTTAGTGGAGATGCATAAAGATCTAGACGATCTTTTATTGATTCCGAGGACAAATCAATAAGCTTTAATGCTTTGTTGCTATAGTCAGCTAGAAATAATAGTCCATCATCCGTGAAGCATGAACCGTAAACACTGCATGTCCTCCTATCATTTTCATGTTTGATATTAACCAGTTTCTTGCTTTTTACATCATACAATTTGTCCCTCATATTTTCAGATTCACTTACTGAAACAAATCCAAATGTCTTGAAGTCTTTCAAAGCATTTATCATTGTCAAATCAGCATTGAATTCAACTTTAACACCTGATGAATTTGTCACTGACGCTGCTTCTGCTTCATTAGCTTCATTGATATGTTTCCGAGAATTTTTCAAAGCAACAAACTCTTGTGCTTTATTTCCAGCTGACTTTGTTAGTTTATGTGATGATCGTTTGAGTACATCAAAATGTTTCTGTAGTTTATTGATGTCGATTTCTAACTTCTCTGTGGCATTTTTATACTTTTCCTCTAGGGTTGTTATTGTTGCCATTTCTAGTGTGTCCAGTATTTCTTCCAATTCTCTCCTGAATTGTCTTATTGACTCTGTTGCCTTCTCCTTCTGGGCATTAAGCTCTTTGATAAGAAGTTTCTTTGCTTTTTCTGTGTCTTCCATTTTAGTTTTAATACGAAGCAGCTTTTGTTGTATATCCTCAACCTCAGTCTTCTGATACAAGGTATCAATTTCATCTGGTACCGAGTGTATATTTTGACATGTTCTGAAAAATTTAATGTAAATAATTTAAATTCAAAGAATAGTTTGTGAAATATGATAAAATGTAATATATATTATGACCGTGTCCATAAAGAGATAAGGCACATGTTTCAAAGTTGCTTGTTTGGTTCCTTAGTTTTCATGCCTTTTGTTATACATGTATATATTTTTATTTCTAAAATTCATTCGATATTTTTCATGGATACACTGGGCGTGATTACCTTAGGGCTCGTATAAATTTAAGCAAAATGTGTCACAAATACGGAGCAAAATTATCATGAAAAATAATTTGAAACTGCTTTCGTAATGCTTGTATAATAATAAATAGAAGAAATATACATGGTCTACAAGGTGCACATTTTCCATAAATAGTTCATACATTGATAAAAAGTAAAGTAATGTATCAGATGGATATTCTAATAAAATATGTTTTTGAATGATAAAATTCTAAGTTATTTAGTATGCAATTTTTATAATGAAGCATCATATTTTGTTTTATAACAGTTTAATATCTGCTTTACAAATATATGTTATGTCAGATCATGTATCCCACACTTGCAAACATTATCCATGTATCTTTCTTTCGTGTTTGTTATTTGTGATACTAAATACTTTCAACATAATTATTGAATGTACGACCAATTCGTATTACAGACCAATTCACTTTAATTTAATGTAAATGTACATCACGGTACATTATTACAGCATTTATTTTTTCATTTCATTGCAATTCAATGCTTTATTTAAAGATTCCAAATAAATAAAGTTTACCTGTGTTTTATAGCTATGCAGGTCGCACAAACTACATCATCATGATCTGCACAATACATATCTAACAACTTAGTTTTATGAGCTTCACATTTTTCAACTGGAAAACTTGGCAGCGATTTATGTAGGTTAGATGTGTTGAAACTTGACTTGTCTATAAAATGATGCTCGCCCACAGCAGAAGGGAACATTTTATGCAAGTCTGTACATGGTGAACAATAATAATCCTGACATTCCACACAATAAGTGTCTGCCTCCTTTGTTATATTTTTCTTTTCACACAAACAACATTTAAAGTTGACAAATTCATCGGATCCAGAACAACCAGTCGCCATTTTGAAACACAAATATTTTAAAGTTAACTTCCTGGTTACATGTAACGTTATAACGCACTAGCAAACTCTAGTGTTAAATCAATTTATATAAAGGTATTAAGCCGATTGGTTTTTAATTGCATAATCACGGTGTCCTAAACTTTTAACTTTAAATACTGATTTGGTTGTCTGATAAAAAGTTTAAGTATCAGACTTCGGAAGGTAAAATGTGATAAAATACTTTATGAAGTAAACTTAATTTAATGTTGCATTCTAATCTTATATCAGTATAATGTTTGAATCAAATAAACGACCTGACCTTGTTTTGTGTTTGTAAACAAGTATTATTTTTTTCCATTCAAGTAACGCTACTTTTTCCTATTTGTAAATGTGTACTGTACTAAATTCCACAGATAAGATTTCCTGGCATGTGTAATGTCAGATGTTGACTGTTAAATGTTTTTTTAAAAGTTTCCGGTCAGATGTTTCAGGTATGCCATTTGTTTAATTAAGCCTATGTTTGTGATGAAATGTTGGCATATGATTCCTTATCTGAAATGTTATATGATTAAGGTCATATACGGACAAACGACTAAGAGCTATGCTAAAACCTTGTAAATTAATAGTCCAAGAGATGGCGGGGTTTTATTGCAATTTACCGTATCACCAAAAGAAACATTGTCATAATAAAGTATATTGTTTGTAGTTTCTAAAAACCCATTTCTTAAGTTACGCAGCCCGGGCAAAAATATGAAAATTCAAGATGGCCGCCAATATGGCCGCCAAAAATTACAAAATACCACATAATTTTTGTTTCTTGATTTTTTACATACGGATTTTGTACAATGTAGTTTTAATTGCACAATATCAGGTAAAATATGCCTACTTTATGATTCAATCAAGCAAAAATGACAATTATATGGCAAACTTTAAAATTATCACTATCAATTTACCTAAAAAGTGGGTAAAAAATAGCATTTTTTTGACAATATGATGACTTTCGTTTTTTCCGTATTAAAACAATATAAATGGAATTGCATTGAAATTGGTGTGTACTTTATCAATTTAACATAGCTAGACAAGTTAAGCATAAAAAATCATTATCTGAGTATTTATGATGTAAGAGTAGGGCTTCAAAAGTGGGTGGGGTAAAATTACCGAAAAAATATTCAAAATTACAATGTTCCAAAAACATGCATTTACATTATAATTTCAGTTTAATGTATAGGATATTGTGTTTAAATTGTATGTTATTTGTCATTTGAACGTTTCTTGATAAGTTAAGCATAAAACTTCATTACCTGATCATTTATCACAGATGAGTACAGCTTCAAAAGTGGGTGGGGTAAAATAACCGAGAAAGAAAGAGGAAAACAAAAAGAAGAAAAAAGTTCAAAATTATTAAGCTTCTAAAACTTGCCTGCACTTTACAATTTTAGTGTTTTTATCATGTAATTGAGTTTTGTGATAAGAAATATAAAAATTGTATTACATTAAAGAAGAAAGAAACATCATGACATCGCAATTTAAAATTATCACAAAAAATGGTACCGAAACACATTTTTGAGATTTTGTTGCCTTAAAATATATCGTAGAATGAAAGTTGTCTGTCTTTTATCAGTTGTTTATAGTTTGACAAGTCATTAAAAGTAGTTAACTTATCATATATCTTAGAATTTTAAAACTCGGTGGGGAAAAATAACGCCTCAACCATTAAATATAATGAACTTGCTTCTTTTGTTCTATTATAATACATGTCCAACAATTATGTGATGGCATTTTATATGTTTTGAAAACAAAAATATTGTATAGATCAATACTTTTTTAAAAAGATTTTTTTATAATGTTCTTTCAGCAAAATTTGTAAAATAGTTTTGGTTGTCACGTCATCAGTATCATTTTAACTTTGACTATTTTATTATCTTAAACATGAAAGAAAAGAGAAATGGTTATTGTCATTGGTAAAAGGAGCATTTATTAATGAATGTTGTGCAAATATCATACTGAATAAAATCACAGTCATAGAAAATTGCAATAGTGGATAGCAAAAGGTATTTAAGCCTTAATTGACATATCAATTAAATTTAAAACACAATTTCTGCACAAAAGAAAACAGTCAATTTCAATACTTAAAATAAAAGCAGCATATTATGCCCCTCTCCTACAAAAAATTGAGAGGAATTATTATTTGTACAGTGCCATCCCTTCTTCCATATTCCTTACTTTGAGTGTGGTCCATACCTTTGCATATTTTGCATACATAAATTGTGCACTGATGGTCATGTCAAGTCAATAATTATGTCATTCCTGGATTGATTTTTGAAATAAATTTATAAAAATGTTTTTTGACATTATATTAATGTGTGACATTCAAAAATCAAGTCACACTTGTACTTCCATATTCATAATATGATTAATAGATGGCGTTGTCATTCATGGATGATTTTTTTACCATTATGCATAATTTGTTTTACATTGATCTGATGTGTATCACGCCAAAACAAGATGTGTTGCTCAAAGTCACCTCTTAATTTTTCATTTCATGCGTTGATACTCTTGTCTGGTCAACAATTCTGTGTTGCACAGATGTGTTGCATTTTAAGGTCGAACAGGAAATAATCAAGTCTCTGGCTCAAAGGTTAAGGTCATAATTGTCAATTGTCATAATTTGTACATAAATTTGTAAATCTTTGATAGATTTTGGAAATATTATGCGTAAAAATGCTTCTTATTAAATGGATAATCGACCCCAAGATGTAAACTTTACTATAATTATGACAATGTTTCCAAATGTATACAATATAATCTGAGAGCTTAGGTTTCTTGCTATGCAGGTAATATGCAAGCATAGTTTTCATAGATAGATTTAGGGCATGATAACAACAACAAAAAAAGGTTAATAAATGCCATATAATTAAGTCAGTCGCTATGTCCACCTGTAGTATGCCTGCCTAGCTCAATGAGAGAGCAATAAGAAATGAAGAAGTCACTTGCTTCATCCTCCGACAAAGTAAATTTCTTTTTGAAAATAAAATCTCTCATCGCTTATTTCAAATATCATGTGAGGTAAACATGGGTCACTTGCTCAGAAATTTGCTACTTAATTATCAAGGAAATCCGGTTAGGTGGATCGAAAGCCGAAATAAGACCAAAACATTTGTTATAGAACACCAAATTTATGTTTCGCCCATTGTTTTCTCATTAACATATCCTGATAATTAGGGGATCATACGCCACTTTTAATGTACTGGCTGAAAAAAGTCATTTTGAGCTTTCCATGATGACCTCCGTATTAACACATCTGCGAATGTTTCAAAATTCAAATTTTACTATTTCATGCTAAAGGTTGAATTATCCTTGAGGAGGTGCTTGGGGTTGTGGACGGTAGTTTGCACTATTCAGTACCATCCATGAACAGGCTCAATAAACCAAGTCTGCAACATTTTCAATTTTACTGTTTATTGGAAGTTCTTTAGGGATTGTATTTTTTCCCTATTCACACCTGTAACTTATGCCAGACAAGCATTGTTTAGAATAAATATGCTCGAAATCGTTCAAGCAAATAGAATGAAAAAAACGGAAAGCTTTAAGAATACACAATATGGCACACTTACGCTCGTTTCTTTTATGCCTATTTTTTGGACAGCAGTGATATATTGCAAGCTTCTAACAACGTCCTCCAAGCAAAATTCAGTATTTAAACAAAAAATGTAGTGAAATTATAAAAGTGAAACTTAAAATTTTTAAAACATCCGTAGACAAGTTCATAAGACGGTAACCAAGGGATCTTCAATGTGACAATTGCGCCACTCCATCAAAAACAGTATATGGACCCAAGTAAAAAATAATGCGTGTAGCCTAAATATGCAAATTATGTTGAACTAGATAATTGAACTTTTTTAAAATAGGTTTATGAAGTCTTAATAACAGATAAAAGCCACCAAGGAGAAATCTTAAGTCAGGCAACCCATCCTTAAGGGTGATATTCAGTATTCACGAAGGAATACTAGAACCACCCAACGGGGAAAAAAAGTCAAAAAGAAAAAAAACTAAAACTATGCAACACAGCAATGTTATTGTGCTGAAAGATTTTCTAGGATAAAAAATATAACATCCTAAATTGATCAAACTGTCAGGAGCTGATGCATCATTTTTTGCCATCTACACTGTCAGTGCTCAGTGTGATTTTGAAGCACTCACAAAATACTGACATTTAAAATCTTATTTCTGCTAAATAGTGAGACAACACATAACATAGCTAATGGATCTGAAGGAAACAGCGACTATGTACTTATAAATGTAAATTACAACTAAATGATGGTCGGTTGCTTTGTTTGAAAATTGTTGCTTTTAAATTGACTTTTGTACAGAATGTATTAGTGGCATAATTTCAAGATGTATGTATTTCTATGACAAGTATTGATAGCTTAAACATGTTTTTAACTATTTGGATGTTTTGTGTGCAGTAACATTCACAACTTTTGCTAAACTTATTCATATATGATTGCTAATTTTATAAATGACAATTCTTCTTACCTTTGTCAAATTAAAACATGATGATGTGTTTATATCATATTTCACAACTACACTCTCACAAAATGCATTTCACAGACATCATGTTCTTGATTAATATATAAGTGTGTCCCCTTTTGTGTTGCACTTTTTTTTCATTATTCCCCCCCTTTTGGTACAAAATAAAAATCAACCGGGAAAATCTGCAAAATTTTTAATGTTTATTTTTTTTTGTGTTAATGGCCTTTTCCCAAAGGGATCACTTTTTTTTTTTTCCAGAATTTTTTAATTTTTTTCAACAGCAGGTTTGTTTTTGTGCCGTGGGGGCAGGGCCCGGGGAAAAAAGTTTGCCCCGTAAATTTCCCCTTCCAAAGTTGTTTTTTATATTTCTTGGTTTCCCTTCCCGGGATTTTTTTAATTGAAAAGCCAACATTAATAAATGGGTTAAATTTGAGACCCCGGGCCCCAAAAGCCGGTTTCTAAGGGGGCCGTGGGATTTTTTGCACCCCAATTTAAATTTTATTATCCCTCATAAAAAGACTCAAATCAAACCGAGTCTGCAATTCTTATGTTAATTTTGTTTTGATTAATGCTTCCGAGGGATCACTTTGTTTCCAGAATGTTTTGATGTATTTAATGCACTCTTTCTTAATTTTAATTATGATGCAAAATTTCTTACCTTTATCAAAGGCACATTATGCCTAAAAAAACAAATAAATTAAATAACGGTTAAAGAGAAATGTAATATGCTTGTTACCTGAATAAAATAGCAATAAATCTAAAAATACTTTGTAGTAAATGTAGCAAAATGTAAGCAAAGTAGTACTTTAACTTCCTTCCATACAAACTACTTATTCACAAAAACTATACGTATTGCCAAAACGTAACAGATAAAATAGTTCAAGTGATTGGCCAGTGGAGTAAAGATATGCCGATAACATAAAACTATACCAAAATTAAAAAAACTTTAGAGAAAGGAAGCTTTTCTGAGGCATAATAGGCCTTTAAGGAAAACATAATCAATTACAGGTGTTATAAATATGTATCAAAATTAATGAAATTACATTTTTTGTAGAAAGAACGTAATAAAAACTGTTTCTGTCCATAAGAGTATGTTGTAATAGCATCGTGATGTCTTCAGGTCTAAGTTCAAATTTTATCCCACACACTTTTTAGTGCTTCTTTTCTGAGACTCATGCCTCGCGACAATTTCAATTAAAACACAGTGACATCTATTTTATGTTACAAAGATGAAACAAAAAGTTACCAAAATACTAGTATGTTTTTTTTTATACATTTTTGTGTGAATTAATTATGATAAATAAAACATTTAAATGATTTTTTTTTTCTTAATTGATTACAGAATTTATCTACTGGAATTTGAAAAATAATTGTATTTGCTATACAGCCTCTTTTTTACCATAAAAAACATCTTTTTGAGTACACACATACAAGATTTGATAAGTTTTCAACTCCATACACTATAGATAAACACAGTGTAAATACATAAAACGTCATTATAACTGGCGCTTTTTTTAGTAAGGACCATATTAACTTGACCAACAATAGGGAGTGCATCTTTCCAAACTTTTTTATTCAAAAAATATTCAGTAAGAATTTCGTAGATTTCACAAAAATATCTGCAATATAAGTGTTTTACCAAAAATATTACTATGCTAGGAACATCGTTAACATAATTTATTGATATTAATTGTCAGAAAATGGCAAAAACATGACTATTAAACATTAAAAAGTAAAAGCATGTTCTGTTAGCTCTTTTAATTTTTAAAGTGTTATGTCGGACCATTTTTTCCCCTCTGTGATACATTCTCTTGTTAACGATTTTCATGCCAATCTATTACAGCTATAATCAACTAAAACAACTGTAGCACAATTCTTCTACTTTGTGTCAAGAAGATATACTAAAAGGCAACAAAATGCAAAAACTGTGGTTTTTTTTACCTATTAATTTTTTGGTTAATTGTGATAATCTTAAATGTTGCTATGACATGATGTTTCTTTTCTTCTTAAATGTAATACATATTTATATATCTTACCACAAAATTCAATTAATATATGATTATTGCACTTAAATTGTAAAATAAGGGCAAGTTTCAGGAGCTTATTAATTTTTAACGCGCCTTTATTGGGGGTTATTTTACCCCACCCACTTTTGAAGCTGTACTTTTTTCTGTTATAAATGCGTCAGGTAATGAATTTGTATGCTTAACTTATCAAAACATGTTCAAATGATAAAGAACATACAATTAAAACACAATTTCCTGTACATTAAACAGAAATTATAAAGTAAAGGCAAGTTATGGGAACATTGTAATTTAAATTTCTTTTTCGGTAATATTACCCCACCCACTTTTAATATTCTACTCTTAGGGCATAAATGCCCAGAAAAAAATTTGTTTATGCTTTACTTGTATATCTATGTTAAATTTATAAAGTACACACATTTTAAAGGCATTTCCGTTTATATTGTGTAAATACGGAAAAACGAAAGTCATCATATTGTCAAAAAATGCTATTTTTTACAACTTTTTTGGTAAATTGATAGTGATAATTTTAATGTTTGCCATATAATTGTTATTTTTACTTGATTGAATCATAAATCAGCCATATTTTATCTGATATTGTACAATTGAAACTACTTTGTACCAAATCCGTATGTAAAAAATCAAGAAACAAACATTATATGGTATTTTGTAATTTATGGCGGCCATATTGGCGGCCATCTTGAATTTTTGTACTTTTTTCCCCGGGCTGGTAAAATTAAGAATTTAGTTTTTTGGACTACAAAAAATATCTTTATAAAAGGGCAATGTTTTTTTTTGGTGAAAACGGTAAAATTTCAAATTTAAACCCCCCCAAACTCCCTTTGGGCTTTTAACCTTTTTTTTAAATGATTATTCAGGTCAAAATGTTGTTCCCAAATTTAAATGGAAGGAAAGGCACCAAAAATTTTTATTTCCGAGGTCCCGGGTTTTTAATCAAACTGCCAAAAGAGGTTATGAAGGGGTTTAAAATTTTTTGTCATTTGTTTTTTTGGGGGGGCCAGGGCCCTTTGGGGCATATGTTTAAAAAATCAAATTTGTTTATATGTTTAAAGGGAAGATAAATTTGGCAATGAGTTAGGATTGTCATGAAAGGTTCCCGAAATTTTTTCCATAATAAATTTTGTTTTTTGGGGGCCGGAGCTTGTCTATGCTTTATGTAAGACTTTGTCGTGTTTTACAAGAAACATGCTGTCATATGCTTGAGATAAAATGAGGTGAGGTGCTACAGGTCTTATATTTTCATATGTTAAGGTCAGATGTTATCATATGTTTAAGGTCACATGTTGTCATATATTCGAAGTCGCAGGCATTTTGACACAATTGTCTTGTATATAATTGTACAATTATTGTAAAACAACCTCTCGTTGATCACCAAGAACAATGTTACTATCCAGTTTCAAGTTGCTGCATTGTAAGATTATCGTAAAATAATCTCCAACAAATATCAAATTCCAGCACCCGTTCATATATATTTTATTTTGATTATGTTATTCAATTAAAGTAACTAATATACCTCAAACTAAAGTATTAATAATGTAACATTTTACAAATGACACTAATGTAACTAAAATGTATGCATATTTTATGGCTTTCCATGCCCATTATTTAAATATTATTAAAAATTGTTTTAAAGACATTCCTTGGTATCCGAGTAGAAAAAGAGCTACAGAGAAAACAAGCAGATAGGAAAGGTAGACGTGACAACTTTGGTGGCATAAAAATGAAGAAAACACAACAATATGGAAAATTGTGTTCACCATTCCAGGCATTGTCTGTACCAGTAAGTTACAAAAAAGTGGAAATAAATGTTCTTATTTGGTTAGCAAAGATAAGTACTCGTATACTTCTTTTATAGTGTTTATAGTTGGAATATGCCTTAATTGTTTGATATACATGTAACTCAAGCACAATCTGACCAAAATTCAGACCTTATGTTTTACATGAGCCAAAGCCGTACATGAGCATGGCATTATTTAGGAGCTGATTTTCATAGATAATAAGAATGATTGACATGCACTTGTATAAAATGATATTTAATGATATTTCCTTGGCATTGAAACGTAGGCTAACTTTTGTTTGATCATGAATTATTATATTTGATTAAACTGACTTCTTCATATAGATTTGTCAACTAGGAAAATGAATTTAAAATGTTGATAGGGCAGCTCAGGATGTCGGGTTTTTTATTGTCATTTTTATTATGTAAGAGAATTTGAAGACAAGTAATAAATTTCTTGATATTTTGGAAAAAAACCAACATAAATCAGGATATAAGATTATCTTTTATTGCATGAAAATGTCAACAATGCAATCTAGTTTGATTTCTTTCAGAGCGTCATGGATATAAAGATTCCAGAGAACATGCCTCTAAGTTCTAGAATGATCAACAAAGGTTATACATCACTAAATCTAACAGAAGACAAACTGATGAACATGGATTTTAGTTATGGTGGACGAGAAACACCACCTGGTGAGCAAGGGGAGGCAGTAACCAGAAAAAATGTTGGCGGTAGTAGAGTGAGCATGAGGGACGATAAATCACGGAACTCTGTGAGGAGCACACCGAAAATATATGCTCCTGTGTTTAAAAAACATCATACTGTTGCTTAAATATAGTTTTGTTTTGTTGTATAGTTTTAATAACTACAATGTTGAAGTTGATTTTTTAAATAACGAAACCAAATCTGTTTATATCATAAAGAAATAGTGTATAGATCATTCTTGAGCACTATGAATTATAAACTGATTCACTTTTTGATGTTTTTTCTGTTATCATTTTAAGCTGATAAAACATTGTATGAACATTATTATTGTTATATTAATTGTTGAGAATGCTTTAACAGATCAGTTATACCTTTTAAAGAAATATTCTTTCTGATACAATGCAAATATAAATTCTTTGTGGCATTTTACTATAAGTATTTATATAGAAATCTGTTATTTACTTGAATTTCGCAAGTGGAGGGTTGATTGCAAAACTGCTGTAAGTCCTTCTTTATTTCATTTAAGTTACTGCAGTTTTGCAGTCAACCCTCGAAATTTAATTTTTTTTTAATTTACTGTAATTGTATACTGCTATTTTTGACAACATCTTACTCATATTCAATGATATTGTACAAGAGTTCATTTCTATTTTAGATTTGTAAAATGTAGATTAATGCATTGTTGTTTTTTGTTCAAATGGCTAAGATATATGTATAAGAAAACAACAAATTTTAATTACAATCGTTATGCAGTACTAATGAAAGAAGATCAGATCTCAATTTCAATAAATTAAATGTTTTGAAATGGTAGTGTATGACTTGCGTTGTTCATATTCGTAGAACAAATGAATTTTGAAAAATGCCATTGCAATTGACTGTTTTTGATTACTGATATATATATATAGAAATGGTTATACTATGATCAAATACCTTTTAAATATCTGTGATTTCATTCATAGAATTGTAACATATATATGTGGAGTAATATTGTACATAATGGTACATTTATGTTTCTGCAAGTATTTTTAATGAGCTAGTTGATGAAGTACAGGCCAGCAGTTTATAAATCTTCACTCAAATCTCAGGATTTCCATTGGTCAGAGAACATCCCCTGCCAGCTTCTGACCAATCAAATACATTAAATCTGAGTTTGACCTCAAAGAATTTCTTTACAACCTTGGACCAAGGATGTTGTCATAAGGACTTATTGCTTGACTCTTAGTAAGACTCAGTAAGCTTAAGTTTGTATGTCTTTTTACACATTTAAATTTATTGTATAAAGCTATTTATAATATAAAGCTTTGTTATTTTAGTTTGATTTTGGATAGTGAAAAGAGCCAAATATATCATCCTGAAACAACACTGTTCAAGGACAAACTGATGGAGAAAAACGTGATTATAGTTACACTGGGCTTGTTGTTTTTAAACCTAAGTCTGACAGCTTAACCACTAAGGCTATCATGATTGAATATTCGAGATATCTTACTACTCATTGATATTTGCTCCATGTTTTCTATGATTAAAGATAACAATGTTTGTGTATACATTATATTAAGGTTTGAAACATTGAAATTAAAAATGTTGTTTAAATGTGTAACTCCTTATTGTTTTGCAAATCAAACTGCTTCCTTTTGTCTTTCATCATTTACATATGTATAAGTGTGATAAAGTCCTGTGATTGAATTACTGTTTAGAAATGTTTTCTATGTTAAATAAAGTGCTAAAACAAAATGATTACTGTTTTGTTGAAAAGTTCCATATGACCGGAGAAAACATTAACATTTGCAAACATTTGGGATTTCAACATTTATCATAAGATGTAATGTCAATTGACACTTCTAGAATGATTTGTGTTAAATTAGGTCCAATCTTTAGCGCTCAAGCTTTGACATCTACTTTTAAATTTCTTTAAAGATGGACGTTTGTTTTACTGGATTTTCTGCTTGACGGACCGATTTGACTTGTTTCGCTGGAGAAAGCTTCAAAGTTAACATATGACCTTATCAGTTCTACAGAACCTACAGCTTAAGTGCAAAACGAATCAAAAGACTGTTCAGCTATATATCAAATAAGTAACTTACTAAATTGTGACAGGATACCAAAACAAATTATTAAAATAAAAAAAAGCATTTTAAGCCTAATGGGCCTTTTATAAGTATCAGGGTTTGCATTTGATATCATATTGTTTTCAGTTTGATGCACTCATGCTAAATCATACACCTCTATCTGATCACTGTTATTAATGGTTACAACCAGTCTGTTCTGATGCAAATTAAAGCTAGCAGACCAACTATTACAAAAATTCCCTAGAATATCCATTTTTTTTACCAGAATTCTTATTGATCTGAGCAATTTAGTCTGCCCCCTGTCCACAAACAAATATGTTTCTTTATTTGTCCATAGATAAAAACCGGATCACAAATTGCTGTCTTGTAATTTCCCTAAAGATCAAGTACAATCACACCTTGTGGTTGTAATAGGTGTAAATGACCCCTGTTTTTATGTTTAGTTTGATATCAATTGTTTGACTGTTTACAGTGCATTGGATTTACAGTAAATTATACACCTCAATTGTATCACTGTTAAAAATGGTAACCACCAGTTTGTTATGTTTCAAATCAAAGCTACAAGACGAACTGCGAAATACTTTGCCAAGTACTCCCAATCTTTCACAAGAATTCTTATTTATCTGGACAATGTTTGACTGCCCCAATCCACACACAAATATGTTTCCTCGTTTGTCCGTACAAACACCCCATAGATTAAAAATATCAGGATCAGTAATTGTTGTCTTGTAGTTTCCCTCAAGGTCAAGGACAATCAGACCTTTAATATAATCAGCCACAAAAATCATCTTGCCATCACTGCTAACACTGATATGTCTGTTGCCACGGAAAATTGCATTGCCTTGCTTATCAGATGTGATTTTACGTATCATGCTGCCATTCATATCATAAATATAAACTGAGGTACTTTGATCAGAGATAAACAATTTATCATCTCTGAAGGCTAGTCCGTGGCAAAAATGATCTACCTTCAGTTGTTTGATGGCGTATAGTTTGTTTCCCATTGAAACAAATTGAATGGTTTTATTGTTCAAACTAACTGCAAAGTCGTTTTTATTAACTTGACAAATACTTAATGGAAATGCATCAAGATCTAGACGATCTTTTATGGATTCCGAGGACAAATCAATAAGTTTTAAAGATTTGTTGCTATAGTCAGCTAGAAACATTAGTCCATCATCGGTGAAGCATGAACTGTAAACACTGCATTTCTTCCTATCATTTTCAAGTTTGATGTTAACCAGTTTCTTGCTTTTTACATCATACAATTTGTCCCTCATTTTTTCAGATTCACTTACTGATACAAATCCAAATGTTTTGAAGTCTTTCAAAGCATTTATCATTGTCAAATCTGCATTGAATTCAACTTTAACATCTGATGAATTTGTCACAGACGTTGCTTCTGTTTCATTAGCTTCATTGATATGTTTCCGAGAATTTTTCATAGCGACAAACTCTTGTGCTTTATTTCCAGCTGACTTTGTTAGTTTTTGTGATGATCGTTTGAGTATATCAATATGTTTCTGAAGTTTGTTGTTTTCGTTTTCTAACTTCTCTATGGTATTTTTGTACTTTTCCTCTAAAGTTGTTATTGTTGCCATTTCTAGTGTGTCCAATATTTCTTCTATTTCTTTTCTGAATTGTCTGATTGACTCTGCTGCCTTCTCTTTCTGGGCATTAAGCTCTTTGATAAGAAGTATTTTTGTTTTTTCTGTGCCTTCCATTTTAGTTTTAATACGAAGCAGCTCTTGCATTATATCCTCAACCTCAGTTTTCTGATACAAGGTATCAACTTCATCTGGTACCGAGTGTATATTTTGACATGTTCTGAAAATTTTGATGCAAATTATTAAAGTTCAAGGAATAGTTTGTGAAATATGATAAAATGTAATTTATTATGACAGTGTCCATAACTGAGAAAAGATAAGACTCATACTTCAAAGTCTACTTGGTTTCTTAGTTTTCATGGCTACGTTAAATATATTTTTATTCCTAGAATTCATGCGATATTTTTTTTCATGTATACAGTGGGCGTGATTAACTTACTTTGATCGCGGATAAATTGAATCAAAATGAGTCTTAACAATGTAGCAAAATAATTATGAAAATTATCAAAATTTTACAGTGATTTCTTAATGCTTGTTCAATAATAAAAAGAAGAAATATTTTCCATAAATAATTAAAATATTGATAAAACTATAGAAATGTTTCAGATGAATATTCTTATAAAATATTGTTTGAATGATAAAATTCTTGGATATTCCTATAACATATTGTTATTATAAAATTTAAGTTATTTAGTATGACCATTTTTATAATAAAACAACATATTTTGTTTTAAAACAATTTATTATCTGCTTTACAAATACAAAATTGTTTATGTTATGTCAGATCATGTATTCCACACTTGCAAATATTATCCATGTATCTTTTTTATATGGGCGTTAGTTGTGATAACTAAATACTTTTAACGTAATTATTGAATGTATAATCGACCAATCCAATGTCAATTTACATTACAGTACATTATTACTGCATTTATTTTATTTCAATTCAAATCAATGCTTTAGATAATTAAAGAATTCAAATGAATAATTAAAGTTTACCTATGTTTTATAGCTATGCAGGTCGCACACGCGATATCATCGTGGTCAGCACAATACATATCTAGCAACTTGGTTTTATGAGCTTCACACCTTTCAACTGAAAATGTTGGCAATGATTTCTGTAAATTGAAACTTGACTTGTCTATAAAATGATGCTCGCCCACAGCAGAAGGAAACATTTTGTGCAAGTCTGTACATGATGAACAATAATAATCCTGACATTCTACACAATAAGTGTCTGCCTCCTTTACTATATGTTTCTTTTCACATAAACAACATTTAAAGTTGACAAATTCATCTGATTCAGAACAACTGGTCGCCATTTTCAATTCACAAATATTTTAAAGTTAACTTCCTGGTTACATGTAACGTTACAACGCACTAGCAAACTTTAAGTGTTAAATCAATTAATATAAAGGTATAAAACCGGTTGGTGTTAAATTACATAATCATTGTGTCCTAAACTTTAAATACTGATTTGGCTGTCTGAAAAAAGTTTAAGTATCAGGCTTTGGAAGGTAAAATGTGATAATACTTACGTAATGAAGTAAACTTAATTTATATCAGTATAATGTTTGAATAAAATAAACGACCTGACCTTGTTTTGTGTCTGACCTTGTTTTGTGTTTGTAAACAAGTATCATTTTTCCATTCAAGTAACGCTATTTTTTCCTATTTGTAAATGTCTACTCAATTCCACAGATAAGATTTCCTGGCATGTTTAATGTTAACTGTCAAATGTGTTTTAAAAGTTTCAGGTCAGATGTTTCAGGTCTGTCATTTGTTTAATTAAGCATATGTTTGTGATGAAATGTTGACATATGATTCCTTATCTGAAATGTTATCTGATTAAGGTCAGATACGGACACGACTAATAGCTATGCCAAAACCTTGTAAATTAACCTTTTATTACTAATTATTCAGGTCAGATGTTGTCCATTAACTGGAGTTAGATTTTTCATGAGGCCAGCAAATGTTATGTCCGAGATCAGATGTAATCATCAGCCAATGAGATTATGAAGTTAGATATTGTCATATGTTTTTGAGGCCAGAGCTTGTCATAATTATGTTTAGAGTCAGATATGTTGTCATATGTTTAACGTAAGATATTGGTCAATGAGGTAGGATATTGTCATGAGGTCAGAATATGTCATATGTTTTGAGGCTGGAGCTTGTCTATGCTTTATGTAAGACTTTGTCGTGTGTTACAAGAAATATGTTGTCATATGTTTGAGATAAGATGAGGTGATGTCACAGGTCTTATATTTTCATATGTTTAAGATCAGAATTTGTCGTATGTTAAAGGTCAGATATTTTTCATGCATTTGATGTTGCCCGTCATAGGCATTCGACTCAGTTGTCTGGTCTATAATTGTACAATTATAATAAACTGAGCTCCGTTGAACACCAAGAACATGTTACTATCCAGTTGGCCCCGCCCCAGGGGGTCATTGATTTTCCCTATATGCATATAGTAAAAACTTAAAAAATCTCCTTTTAAAGAAACCGAAGAGCTAGAGCTGAGATATTTGGCATTAAACATCTTCTAGTGAGTGTCTACCAAGATTGTTCAAATAAAAGCCCTGGGGTCAAAATTGGCCCCGCCCCAGGGTGTCATTGATTTTCCCTATATGCATATAGTAAAAACTTAAAAAAATTTTTTTAAAGAACCCAAAGAGCTAGAGCTAAGATATTTAGCATGAAACATCTTCAAATGAGTGTCTACCAAGTTTGTTCAAATAAAAGCCCTTGGTTAAAATTGGCCCTGCCGGGGGTAGGGGAGGGCAGATCATTGTTTTTCATCATAAGTGTCTACATCATGAAACGTCTTCTTATAGGTGTCTTCCAAGTTTGTTCAAATAAAAGCCCTGAGGTTTAAACTGGCCCAGCTCCGGGGGCCTACATACAGGTGAGCGACCTTAGGGCCATAATGGCCCTCTTGTTGAAATAACAAAACCAAATCCTGCTTAATATTTCACTAAAATAAATAAATGTATAAGATAATTCAAAACCACGAATTTTATACCTTATTTCACTTTTTGCTTTTCAAGATTGATAAAACACTTTCATTACAAATTATTTATTGATTAAAATATAAATTGTATAGAGGAAATTTAAAGTATTAGTTTAGTTATTTTACCATTTTAAGAAATTATTCTCTGCTTGATAAACAATCCATAATTTGAATACAAATGTATTTTTGTGGCACTTTTCTCGAATATAGATGTACCAATTTGAAACTTTAAAATTTAAACAAATGTTTTTGGTTTATTTGGGGAATCGGGAATTTAAACCCAACTGAAAAACATCTAACTGACAAAAATCCAAATGATTTTTGAAAAAGGGGGTTTTTTTAAAATTTTTGCCCTTAAACTGTAAAAAAATGCTTTAATTGGTCAAGATTTTTTTTTCAAAACCCGGCAAAAGGTTTTAAAAAATTGGGGAAAGGGGAAAGGGAAGATCCCAGAGGGCATTCCTGCCAGGCCTTTTTCTCTGCAGCCAATAAAAATACTTTAAAATTTAAAGGGGTTTGATCTCCCCAAAAATGTTTTTATAATTTGGACAAAGGATTTTTTGACTTTTTAGTAAGTTTCCGGGGGAAAAGTTTTCAATTTGGTTTTCCTTTTTCCACCCCTAAATTTTTTTTAAAATAAAGCAATTTAATTATAATATAAAGATTTGTTATTTTGGTTTGATTTGGGATAGTGAATAAGAGCGACATATCTCATCCTGAAACCATGTTCAAGGACAAACTGATAACTGTGTCATAGGGGAAAACGTGATTATAGTTACATTTATTGTCATTGAACCTGAGTCTGACAGCTTAACCACTAAGGTTGTCATGATTGAATATTCGAGATATCTTACTTCTCATTGATATTTGCTCCATGTTTTCTGTGATTAAAGATAACAATGTTTGTGTATACATTATGTTAAGATTTGTAACATTGAAATTACAACTGTTGTTTAAATGTGTAACACCTTATTATTTTGCAAATCAAACTGCTTCCTTTTGTCTTTCATCATTTTTGTAAGTGTGATAAAGTCCTGTGATTGAATTAGTGTTTAGAAATATTTTCTATGTTAAATAAAGTGCTAAAACAAAAATGTTAACTGTTTTGTTGAAAAATTCCATTTTACAGTAGAAGTTTTGAGAAAACATTAACATTTTCAAACATTTGGGATTTCAACATTTATCATAAGATATAATATCAATTGGTACTTCTAGAATGATTTGTTTTAAATTTGGTCCAATCTTTAGCACTCAAGCTTTGACATCTACTTTTTAATTTCTTTGAAGATGAAAGTTCGTTCAAAGCTAGTTTCTGTTTGAAGGACCGATTGGACGCTGACAAAGCTTCAAAGTCAACATATTACCTTATCAGTGCTACTATAATATAATGTATGACTAAGGTTCTTTTCAAATTACTGATTTTAATATATCAAGTATAGAAATTTTTGTCTTAAACTGATGCCAGATTCTTACAAACACCAAAGACACCAGGTGTGTCACGCTAGATATTTCAATTCAAGCTTTCAGTAAACCACAGAGCATTTTTACAATAATAATAAGTTCAGATCTGATAAATTGAAAACATTAATATCTACACCAAAAAACTGAAAACTGAAACATATAGCACATTTTCCAAAAGGATTTTAAATATTGACAAAAACGTAGGAATGTATCTATTTGGATATTCTTATAAAATAAGATACTATGTAATTAAGGTAATACTTTTTGTTACATAATTTACTTTACATACACCAGAAAATAAAGCAATAAATTATGAACAGAACAGAACAAAAATTATTATGACTTGTACAAAGAACATTATCTATAATAAATTATATTCACATATATAATAGATGCATGACAATAAAGAAACAAAAACTGAATATCACATTACGTATACAATTAGTTTCAAGACAATAAACAAACAAAAACATACATTTGCGAAAAAAATGTTCATTTACTGTATATTTTATGATAAAAAGACTGGTTTTGGAATGGAAACAAAACATTTAGAGTATGAACATTGATTTAAATTTCATTAAAGTAGGCCACACTATTTAAATTACATGTACATGTAATTCCTGTTAAGACCGATACATTGTATTCCTTGATAAAAATATCGACTTTATGTGAAACAAATGCTAAATACATGTATATCAAAACCTTTTAGTAATGTAAAACATATTTGGAACCAAAGTGATCCCTCGGAAGCATTAATCACAACAAAATTACATGAAATTTTCAGACTTGGTTTGATTACGTTTGTACATGAGGGATAATGAATGAGTGCAACATCCCTCACGCCCCTAGCACCAGCTTTAGCGGAACTCAATTCTCAACACTAAAAAGTACTGGCATCAATGATCCCGAAGGACCAGAAAAATATAACAACAATGAAAGTGAAGTACGGGGCAACTTTTTACAGCTGCCACACAGCACTTGACCCTCAAAAACATACATACAAATACATACATACTATATGAATAAACTCTTGTATGATTAACATTACACGGAATATAAACTATAAAATGTGCATAATGTCATCAAATCGCACACGGAAGACACACAAGATTAATAATAATCATATAAATAACTACTTACTAATAATAGTAATAGTTGTTATTATTATTAGTATTGTTACATGTATGTGTAACATAATGACAAATTATTTGATGTGGGTGAAAAAGGCATTATCTTTTCAATTTGAAATAAAATACTAAAAAACCTAAAGAAAATCTATAAAGGGATCTTTTCATCATAAGAATTTGAAGTTCTTTGTTGTAAAAATATTTGTGAATGGAATAAGCGCAAATAGCAGACACATTTAAAAAGCAAATTTAGCCTCCGAAATTATTTGTGAATGGAATAAGCGCAAATAGCAGACACATTTAAAAAGCAAATTTAGCCTCAAAAATTAACACTTTGTCTATCTGTTTTATAATGTTATAATGCATTTGAAAATGTCAGATGGTTCTCACATGAAAAATACAGCTCTGAAATAATTTGTTATAAATATTTGTTATAAAGATAGCGGAATGAAAACAAAGTGGTATTTTGACTTCCATACAAAACACTTAATCGTTACATGTATAAACGAACTTACAGCTTAAACGCAAAATGACAGGTCACCCCCCCCCCCCACCCCCCCCCCAAAAAAAAATCTACAAAATAAAAATATCATTTTTAGGCTTAATGGGTCTTTAATAAATATTAGAGTTTGCGTTTGATATCATTGTGTTTTCAGTTCATTTGACTCATGCTAAATTATACACCTCTATCTTATCACTGTTACGTATGGTAACAACCAGTCTGTTATGTTGCGAATTAAAGCTAGCAGACATACTTTTACAAACATACCCTAGAACACCCATTTTTGCACCAGAATTCTCATTGATCTGAACAATTTTTGACTGCCCCCATCCACACACAAATATGTTTCCTCGTTTGTCCAGACAAACACCCCAAAGTTTTATAAAATTCGGATCAGCAATTGTTGTCTTGTAGTTTCCCTCAATGTCAAGAACAATCAGACCTTTATAAGAATCAACCACATAAATCATCTTGTCATCACTGCTAACACTGATATGTCTGTTGCTACTGAAAATTGCATTGCCTTGCTTATCAGATGTGATTTTACGTATCATGCTGCCATTCATATCATAAATGTAAACTGAGGTTCTTTGATCAGAGATAAACAATTTATCGTCTGTGCAGGCCAGTCCGTGACAGTAATGATCTACCTTTAGTTCTTTGATGGCCTTCAGTTTGTCTCCCTTTGAAACAAATTTAATGGTGCTATTGTTCAAACTTACTGCAATTTCGTTTTTGCCTATTTGACAAATATTTAGTGGAGATGCATAAAGATCTAGCCGATCTATCATGGTTTCCGATGACAAATCAATAAGCTTTAATGCTTTGTTACTATAGTCAGCTAGAAATAAAAGTCCATCATCCGTGAAGCATGAACCGAAAACATTGCATGCCGTCCTATCATTTTCATGTTTGATATTAACCAGCTTCTTGCTTTTTACATCATACAATTTGTCCCTCATATTTCCAGATTCACTTACACTTACTGATACAAATCCAAATGTCTTGAAGTCTTTCAAAGCATTTATCATTGTCAAATCTGCATTGAATTCAACTTTAATATCTGATGAACTTGTCCTTCTGGACATTAAGCTCTTTGATAAGAAGTTTCTTTGCTTTTTCTGTGTCTTCCATTTTAGTTTCAATACGAAGCAGCTTTTGTTTTATATCTTCAACCTCAGTCTTCTGATACAAGGCATCAATTTCTTCTGGTACCGAGTGTATATTTTGACATGTTCTGAAAGTTTGATGTAAATTATTAAAACTCTAGGAATAGTTTGTGAAATATGATAAAATGTAATATATTATGACTGTGTCTATAATTGAGAAGAGATAAGACTCATATTTCAAAGTTGCGTGCTTGGTTTCTTAGTTTTCACGGCTTTCGTTTTATACATTTTTATCCCTAGAATTTATCCGATATTTTTTCATACACTGGGCGTGATTAACTTACATTGATCTCGTATAAACTGAGGCAAAATATGTCATAAATATAGAGGAATATTATCCTGAAAAAATATTAGAATTTGAATGTGCTTTCTTAATGATTGTATTATAATAAATAGAAGAAATGTGCATTTTTCTTTGATTGGTCTACAATGTGCATATTTCCATAAACATTTAAAATATTGATAAAAACTATAGTACTATTTCAGATGGATATTCTTTTAAAATATTGCTTGAAAGAAAAAAATGTTGAGTAAGTTCTAAGTGGTTTAGTATGAACATGAATATGATGAAAAATAATATTTTGTTCTAGAACAATTTATTATCTGCTATATTAATGTGTGTATTGTCGGATCATGTATCAAACACTTGCCAACATTCTTTCGTGTTTGTTATTTGTAATACTAAATACGATCAAGATAATTATTGATTTGTATTACAGACCAATTCCCTTTGATTTAATGCAAATGATTATTACTGCATTTATTTTATTTTAAATTCAATTCAATGCTTTATTTCACAGGGGGGCCACACAGTGTTTGGATGGTATATACTGCTTGATGGTGACCTTAAAATGAGATTTAAGTCATAACCTTATAATATGTATATAAATATACACAAGGGGCATTACTTGGTAAAAACACAGTGTGGGCCCCCTGTGCTTTATTTAAAGATTCCAAATACAAAGTTTAGGAAAAGAGTCAACTCGGCCCTATACCAACTCGGCACGGGTCAACTCGGCACGGGTCAACTCGGCCCACTTTACAAAAATATATAGGCCTATAACGTATTTACTTTGCTTTGCATGTTGTTAAGGTAAATGAATAATAAGAAATATCTTATTATTATTATATATTTATACATTGTACCTCTGCTGAAAAAAAGTATATTTAGAAAAAAAAGTTATTTATTTGTCTTGCAGATTCGATAAAATTAATATAGACACAGGCACGATTATCGAATCTGGGAAGAAAAAATAAGAACAGATTGATAAAATAACTTCATATTTTTTCTTCCCAGGTCCGATACTTGTGCCTGTGAATATATAGATATAATAAAAATGTGTTTCCTTAGATGCATTTTGTTTGTAAAGTAATTTAAAAAAAATTGAAACAAAAGTTTACGTGTTTACTTAATAGCATATGCTTCTAATTAATTGCAGGTGGTCACTAATCAAATTCGAATGAATGAGTCAATCATAATTATCACCTAATTAATCGGTATCTTTAACATACACATTGATTGATAATAATAGCCCGTGACAATAGGAGTCCTTTGATGTCCTTTACCCATTTTTAAAAGTGGACCGAGTTGACCCGTGCCGAGTTGGAATAGGGCCGAGCTGACTCGGGGGCCGAGTATGTTTTAGGGCCGAGCTGAGTTTACCTGTGTTTAATGGCTATGCAGGTCGCACAAGCGATATCATCGTGATCTGCACAATACATATCCAGTAACTTGGTTTTATGAGCTTCACATTTTTCAACTGGAAAACTTGGCAACGATTTTTGTAAGTCAGCTGTGTTGAAACTTGACTTGTCTATAAAATGATGTTCCCCTATAGCAGAAGGAAACATTTTGTGCAAGTCAGTACATGGTGAACAATAGTAATCCTGACATTCCACACAATAAGTATCCGCCTCCTTTGTTATATTTTTCTTTTCACATAAACAACATTTAAAATTGATAAATTCATCTGATCCAGAACAACTAGTCGCCATTTTGAATTCGCAAATATTCTATAGTTAACTTCCTGGTTACATCTAACGTTACAACTGTTAATCAATTTATATAAAGGTATAAAGCCGGTTGGTGTTAAATTACGCAATCACGGTGTCCTAAACTTTTAACTTAAAATACTGAATTGGTTGCCTGATAAAAAGTTTAATTATCAGACTTTGAAAGGTAAAATGTGATAATATTGTATGAAGTAAACTTAATTTAATGCTGCATGCTAATCTTATATCAGTATATTGGTTTAAACAGATAAACTATCTGACCTTGTTTTGTATTTGTAAACAAGTACGTATTATTTATTTCCATTCAAATAACGCTGTTTTTTATATTTGATATTTTCCACTCCATTCCACAGATCAGATTTTCTGGCATGTTTAATGACTGATATTTTCATGTTTTTCATATCAGATGTTGTTATAAAAATCTGGAAACAAAGTGATCCCTCTGAAGCATTAATCACAACAAAATTACAAGAGAACTGCAGACTCGGTTTGATTGAGTCTGTACATGAGGGATAATGTAAAGTGTAACATCCCTCACGCCCCCTAGCACTGGCTTGAGCGGTACCGAAGGACCAGTAAAATATAAGCCTCAGGTCAGATGTTTCAGGTCTAGGAATATGTTTGTGATAAAATGCTGTCATATGATCCCATATCTTATACATGTATGTTATATGATTAAGGTCAAATACTGTCAAACGGCTGATAACTTTGCTATAACCTTGTGAATTAACGAATTATTCAGGTCAGATATTGTCCAATGACTGAAGTTACATTTGTCATGAGACCAGAAAATGTAATGTTAGAGGTCTGATGTAACCATCTGTCAATAAGATTAAATATTGGGCCAGAGCTTGTCATATGTTTAGAGTCAGATGTTGTCATATGTTTAAAATCAGATATTTGTCAATGAGGTAGGATATTGTCATGAGGTCAGAATTTGTCATATGTTTTGAGGCCGGAGCTGGTCCATGCTTTATGTAAGATTGTCGTGTGTTACAAGAAATATGTGGTCATATGTTTGAGATAAGATGAGGTGATGTGCTACAGGTCTTATATTTTCATATGTTTAAGGTCAAATGTTGCCATGTGTTACAGGTCAGATATTTTTCATGCATTTGATGTTGCCATCATAGGCATTCGGCTCAATTGTCTTGTCTATAATGGTACATTTATAATAAAATGAGCTGCCATTGAACACCAAGAACAATGTAACTATCCAGTTCCCAGTTGCTGTTTTTTTTTAGATTAACGTAAAATAATCTTTAACAAAATCAAAATCCAGCACGCATAATGTTGATAATTTTAAGGACTCAGCAGACGGTAGGAACACAAATAAAAGATATTATTACAATATTTAAAGTAGTACAAAACTTGCAATCATACAGTAATTCTTTATTATATAAAACAACAGGTTTCTCTTCAAAGCGTTTCCTTCCAAATTGATCCGTTGCAAAATTATGACTATATTATTACTGGAATATGTGAAAATTTTATATAATTGTTGGTATTGACCAATTAAGGAGATTATTTAAGAGGTAAACAAGGGCACGGGATATAGATAGCAAGGATGGGGATCGCATTCAGGATATTTACCAAGTTTACTTCTGAAATAAATGGAATAACTGAGCACCCTATGTCTGTTCTGTGTACTGTCTTATGGTGAAGAATATTTTTGTCATGAGAAATAATCACAGCAAGGAATTTTCTCCATTTAAAGATACTTCGTCTATAATCCTGTTTAGAATAAAATGGGATTCGAACATACCACAAATATGGCTCCAAGAAATTTTCAATCATCGTCTTTACTCCATCTTACTACTATGGTTACATTGTTCTGGAATATCATTCCAATGATTATGCTTATTATCATATCGTAATTTAGAAGTCTGTAACTTGTCATCGTGGACGGGAGGTCTATACAACAAAATTACAAAATAGAACATGTCTTGCACTTGAATGAAAGACAGTCATGACACCATTCTATGAACATACAATTATGTTTACTATTTTCAGGGATGGTAGACTTCTAGATTTATAAGCAAGTTTTTTATAAGAACGTTCAGGATGTTCTCTATGGATTCTGTTTTTTTCTCTCTCTCTATTTTGGTAATAGCGTGAGTAAAGAACATTTTTTTATATAAAGTGTTTATGTGTATAGAAATACATCAATCAATCTGAATTACTAGATAGGTATAAAAAAGAGTCATCTTAATTGGCGTATGAAACTGAAAAATTCTGTGTTCAGTCGTTTGATGAAGCATAGTATAAACAGAATAATTATTGTTAGACAAAACTTTATATTAACAAATTGTTTCAAATATCATGTTATAGATATTATTTCCTAATTATATTTATATACCAAACTTAATCTACATCATGCTGTAACAGTCAAATGAAAACTTGTCTTAATATATAGCAAAAACTTTTTGTATCTCTCTCTTAACATTTTATACCAAGTAAATTAACAGTCTGCTGGTTTATTTAAATACAATTGTTTCTAATATAGTGGCACATTTCTCTCATCTTCGAGCAATACTCTTTTATAGTTTAGAACACACGAAATATCACAACTGTCCTCTAAGCTGTTTTATGTCATTCTGTTTTGTGTATACAACATACTGCATCTTTCTTTGCATTTTGTTTATATCTTCCTGTTCTATCTATCTTTTTTTGCTGTTGAAGTAAGAAAGTATTTTTAAGTATATTTCCTAACGAAATCATTTAAATAAATATTATGATAAACCTCACCACTTTCATAAATATGGCATTTTTACTGTTTGTATGGTGCTCTTACTGTTTGAATGTGAAGAAAGGGTTTATACTAGATTTGATAAAAGGTCAACATTGACCTTCATACAGTAAATAAAAAAAATATTTTTACTGTGACTTGTGTTTTATGATGTGAGTGGATTTAAAGTATGCTAGAAGCTTATCTTGTGAAGAAAGCACTAAATATTACATATGAAATATTTATTATCACAACATAAACAAAATGGTATCTGTTCTTCCATACAAAAATAATTATAACTTTACTAAAGGTTGGTTTGACCACATTGCAAGTTAGTGCCATTTCGAAATTTGCATCAGCACACCAAAACAAAGAAGTTTTGAGAAATGCATAATTGCATTTTGGGTGCCTATAGATGGGCATTTGTTTATATGGATTTTTTCATCAAACTAAGAGAATGTAGATGCTAGAAATCCAGACACACCCATTATTTTTACCTCTCTTTATTTCTTATTTGCAATATAATACACTCATATAATTCTTTAATTCTGTTCTACATTTAAAATTGTTCAGCACTTTTTGATTTTCATAGTGATATCTGATAATTGATTGTTAATGAATTCAATTTGTTGTTTCATTCCTCTTTTTATTAATATACAGATACTTTATTAATATGTTCATATATATTTTATTTTGATTATGTTATTTAATGAATGTAACTAATTAACTTCAAACTAAAGTATTAATAATGTAACATTTTATAAATGACACTAATGTAACTAAAATGTATGCATATTTTATGGCTTTCTATGCCCATTATTTAAATATTATTAAAAATTGTTTTAAAGACATTCCTTGGTATCCGAGTAGAAAAAGAGCTACAGAGAAAACAAGCAGATAGGAAAGGTAGACGTGACAACTTTGGTGGCATAAAAATGAAGAAAACACAACAATATGGAAAATTGTGTTCACCATTCCAGGCATTGTCTGTACCAGTAAGTTACAATAACGTGGAAATAAATGTTCTTATTTTGGTTAGCAAAGAAAAGTACTCGTATACTTCTTTTATAGTGTATATAGTTGGAATATGCCTTAATTGTTTGATATGCATGTAACTTAAGCACAATCTGACCGAAATTCAGACCTTATGTTTTACATGAGCCAAGCCGTACATGAGCATGGCATTATTTAGGAGCTGATTTTCATAGATAATAAGAATGTTTGACATGCACTTGTATAAAATGATATTTAATGATATTTCCTTGGCATTGAAAAGTAACTTTTGTTTGATTATAAATTACTATATTTGATTAAACTGACTTCTTCATATAGATTTGTCAACTAGGAAAATGAATTTAAAATGTTGATAGGGCAGCTCGGGGTGTCGGGTTTTTATTGTCATTTTTATTATGTAAGAGAATTTGAAGACAAGTAATAAATTTCTTGATATTTTGGAGAAAAAAACAACATAAATCAGGATATAAGATTATCTTTTATTGCATGAAAATGTCAACAATGCAATCTAGTTTGATTTCTTTCAGAGCGTCATGGATATAAAGATTCCAGAGAACATGCCTCTAAGTTCAAGAATGATCAACAAAGGTAATACATCACTAAATCTAACTGAAGACAAACTGATGAACATGGATTTTAGACGAGAAACACCACCTGGTGAGCAAGGGGAGGCAATAACCAGAAAAAATGTTGGTGGTAGTAAAGTGAGCATGAGGGACGCTAAATCACGGAACTCTGTGAGGAGCACACCGAAAATATATGCTCCTGTGTTTAAAAAACATCATACTGTTGCTTAAATATAGTTTTGTTTTGTTGTATAGTTTTAATAACTACTATATGTTGAAGTTGATTTTTTAAATAACGAAACCAAATCTGTTTATATCATAAAGAAATAGTGTATAGATCATTCTTGAGCACTATGAATTATAAACTGATTCACTTTTTGATGTTTTTTCTGTTATCATTTTAAGCTGATAAAACATTGTATGAACATTATTATTGTTCTATTAATTGTTGAGAATGCTTTAACAGATCAGTTATACCTTTTAAAGAAATATTCTTTCTGAAACAATACAAATATAAATTTTTTGTGGCATTTTACTATAAGTATTTATCTAGAAATCTGTTATTTACTTGAATTTCACAAGTGGAGGGTTGATTGCAAAACTGCTGTAAATCCTTCTTTATTTCATATAAGTTACTGCAGTTTTGCAGTCAACCCTCGAAATTTAATTTACTGTAATTGTATACTGCTATTTTTGACAACATCTTACTCATAGTTAATGATATTGTACAAGAGTTCATTTCTATTTTAGATTTGTAAAATGTAGATTAATGCATTTTTTTTTTTTTCAAAATGGCTAAGT